AGATAATACAAGCAAAATAATATTGAAATCGTACATTAGTTAACATTTAAATTATATGAGATTATCTTGACTCGATGTTTTTATTTGCAGAAATTCAGAGAACAAGAAAACACAATCTTCGCTATTACCATGAAATCATGTATTTCTCTCATGAGTTTTACTTTTATTATTTCAAGGTAAATGATGAACAGTTCAAAGAATAAGATAAGTCAAGTAAGATTAAGATGATTCTGTTTTCTAAAGCATTTTTTCAGTTTCGAAACAAATTTGTTGAGCCCAACAGAATTCATGGTTTTTCTTGAATCAGAACATTTAGATTGCCGATTTTGGTGAACTTCTCCTTTCAATTCTACTACGAATTCGTTTCACTAGTCAGCAGTTTATTCATCATTTTAGTTTTGTTGCCATTATTTCATCTGAATTCATGTTCCCATGAAGCCATAAACTATTTCCAGTTCCAAGGAAAGAAAAATTAACCGATTCAATCATTGAAATCACCAGAGTGATCATTCTGATGAATTTTTGTTTCAGATGAGTTTCGATTTTCAAAATTTAGTCCAATCGATTGATGAGCATTACATGGTTATTGCTGATTAATTCTTACAATCAACTTGCAAGTTTAAAGTTAATCGAAAATTGGAACTCTCATTCTTTTGGAAATTTAATATTGTACCAACTTCTCATGTTCATGGTAAATAGATATTAAGATTTTCTATATCTTCATGTTATCATGAAATTGAATCAAGAGATAGAATAAAAAATGAAGTTTATTTTCCGGATTCTTTTTTTTTCAATTACCTTTCAATTGCCTTCACCTAATAGTAAATAGTAATTCTGACAAATTGCTTGTGAAACTGATCAATTTATTACCAGAATGAATCAGTTCATCATCTAAATAACAGGGAGTCTCATGAATCTTCAATGGAGATAGAAAGATGAAAATCTTAAACTTGATAGAAAATTTAATTAACTTTGATCAAGATCAATATTCTTGATTATGGTAATAATTATACTTCAATTATCAGAATATAAAAGTGAAAAAATCCATTCATCATTCTTGCAATAATCAGTAATTAAACTGACAGTTAATCAAGTTATTAATTATTATAAATCGTAACCAGAACTAATATTCAACCTAATCCTTGATTCTGGTTATAATGAAATGTTGATGTTTCCTTAGTTTATCCTCCCTGGTTAATAATAAGATTAAGATATTATCGGTATTAGGATAACAATAGTAATGTAACTTGACTATCAAGCTTTAGGACCATCACAAATTATTGATTAAGATGGTAAATAAATTGGATCACAACGATTCTTGATATGATTCAGATTAAATCATTTACATTTAGAATCAACAATAAAATTTATAATGTTGAAAATTATTCCAACTGAAATTGAAACTGAGTAGCAAAGACACAGAAAATGAATTCATCAAGATGGCGAATCAAATTATCAACTTAACTGTTATGATTCAGTGATTATAATTGTAATTAAAGTAACTCAGCATGACACACCACAGTTGACAGGGTGTGAGATTAGCATGAAACTGCTCTATGAATATAATTTGTTTGTTCTTCATGAATCAAAAACTAGAGAAAGAAAAAAAAATTATCATGAAAATGTGAAAATAATGAGAAAAAAAATGTTCTATTTTTTTCTCAATTCTTGTTGATTCAAACTCTTGATTCTTGTCAAGAGTTGGAACGGAAATGAGTAATTAAGAAGATTATTTTTCTCTCCTCTTAATCTATTCATCAATTTTGACTCTTGATTCTTTAATTATTGAAACTAATTAACAGTCAAACTGGATAATTCATGAAGATTTGAAATAAAATTCTGAGTGTGATATTATCCAATATGTCAAAAAGAGGATCATCCAAGTAGAATGTTATTTTAAGCTGGAATTTATCTGAGGGGAGAAATCGATATGATAAACACCTTCAGGTAGATGATAATGAATTTTGTATCATTTTTGTTTCCTTTTCCTGTTCATGATGATGATGATCATCATCACCTCAAAATCATGATTACCATTATCATCATTATCCTTCATCATCCAACTATTATCTTTTTTTACTTTCTTTTGATAACTAACCCCTGAAGGGAATCTCATTAGACTAATAACTTTTATCTAATAATAAAGTTTCCAATCAATAAGACAGACAAAAGATAACATGGGAAATATGAATGTAAAAATAATTCTCATGGTAAATTTACTCTCCCAGTAATTCATCTCTTCCTATCTCCATCTCCATCTCCATCATCATCATAATTTTCTTCCATATTATCATTATTAGTATATTCTTTTTGCAATTTTTCATCCTCATCTTTTTTTTCTTCTTCTTCTCTATTGATAATCAAACATAAACTCGTAACATTGTACACGAACCAATACAATCTTTTCCATGTAATCGAAATTTTTTTTCTCTGTTTATCAAAAATTCTGATTGTCAGGTAGTTGATATTAGAGTTTGGGTGATGTTAATAAAGTTCATCATTTTATTCAGTTGAGATAATTCAATGTGAATGCGCAATTACCTTAACTTCAATTTCAAGTTCTATTATTAATATATATCAGACAGACTAACAAGTGAGTATGAAAGATTATCTTTTCTTCATTTTCTCCATCATTTCAAATTTTCTTCATCTTTCAAGATGATTGAATGAATAATGGTGATGATTATGAATCTCGATGATGATGATAAGTTAGAAAACATAAGACAAATTGAATAAAGGGTGAATCAGATGAAGGAAACATATTAAATATCATGAAATGCTGAGCAAAATTTTCCATTGAAAAATATGAAACTGAGACTTTGAAATACTCAGAGGTGACGGTGAAAGACTAAAGTTATCAAATAGTAAATGACACATTGAGTTATATCTTTTGTCAGACATCAGATGAGAAGATGATGATGATAATGATTATATTCTGGTGATGATGCTGATAAAGTTGATGATGAAGTCTAATGTATTTGATTGTTGCTCAATGGATTACATGTTACTATGAAAATGGATTGGAACCATAAGGATCGTCATGATCATGGGAAGATGAAAAAAAAAAGATTGAAATGAAAATAACATTTGAAGGCAAATAAACATAAAAAAAGATGATGGTACGAATAGTAAAAAAAGAGAAGAAGAGAAAATGATGATGAAGATGAAAATTGAATGGTAAAAGATTCATAATCATGAGGAAGGAATGAATATTCAGCATTCATGGTTAACATGAACAAACAATTCGATCAAATCAGAATTCGATGTGAGTGAATATTTTTCTTTTGGCTTTTCCTCGATTCATCTTAATTGACTTTTCTTCATTTGAACCAAACTCGAATCACTTGTACTTTTCCTTACATGATTTCGTCTTGTATTCAGATGAATGAAAAGAAAGCGGGAGAAAAGATTGAGAATTTATTTTTAAAAGGTTTCCTCTCGAATTCATAAATTCTTGTCAAATTATCATTGAATTTACCCTGAAGCCATGAACAGGAAGCTCTAAGTATCTCACCCCCTCTTCCCTGTTCAACTTTCTCCTGATGGTTTCATTGCAACACCAAGAAAAAAGCAATGAATTGAACAAAATCTTAATGATAACCATGGAAAACATCATATTGTTTTCATCACTTTCATCTCAGAATAAAATCAATGATGTTATCTTTTGTTGGTTCTAATGAGCTTGATGAACTGTTATCGATTAGTTTTCTGAGTATCTAATGGAATCAGCCAGAGGAGTTGAAATCTGGAAAAACAAATTGAACGAATTGGTTGATTCTGATTTTTCATTTTCTTCGTCATTAAGATATTATCCTTTTTACTTCCGGATATATTATTATCTCTCACTGAAACTCTGTTTCAAATGTTTCCTCACATAATAAAGACTAACATGATTCAATTTAAGATCATTTAATAATAACAGGTTAAGATAAAATCTAATAGATAAAATTGCAATTCAATAATGAATCTCAATCTAATCTCAATTAGAAATTATCAATGAAAGAGTGAAAAGCTTAGATTAGAATCTGAAATGTCTTTAAATAAGTAGAGATTTGATTGTCATCTCTTATTGTGATGATAAATCACAATCAATAATTGTCTTAATCCATCCAGTTAATCGGTAATCATTACAATCAAGCGATTAAGAAATGATGATGATGATTAAAGCGATTCAACCAAATACACAGATAAATGTTAATCATTACCATTTGATTGTCTTTGTTAATGATAATTGATTTTGTATTTACAACTCGAAAAAATCAGGAAAAGGATAACAAAGACTCATTAACTAATCAATAATTGTATAAATTTAGTTAAACGGTTACATGTTAATCCATTGGCAGAATTATTAATCAATGGTGATTGATTAACTCATTAATTTACATATTACATTGTTAATTAAAGTATAACACAGGAATTCAATCACAAGGTTGTCTCAATGTTACAGGAAAATATAACAAGTGAATGTGCTTATCAGGGTATTGAATAAATGAGAACTGAGTGAAGAAAATGCCTCAGGGAATTTTGGAATAATAAAAGTTGTCATCATGTTGGTGTTGGGAGTGGATGAAGGTGGTACATGGATTAGATTCCTTCTCGAGGTGAAGATATTAGGTTATCTTTCAAATTCTCTATGAATAAAATGATAGTATTTTCATTATCTTCTTAAAGATATTAATACTCTGCAAATTTGGACGAAAGTTTTATCTTCCATTGAAAGAAAATGTTACAGAAAAGATTTGATAATAAGATGATGATAAAAGAATTTCGTAAGAGAAATACTTTTATCTTCTATTGTATTATTCCTACAGAATTTTATTAAAAACACTTACTCAGAGATTTTCATGATAATCATAATCTATTAGAACCATGAAATGTTTCAACATGAAATTCACATTAAATAAAACCGATGAATGTCAACAAGATAATCAGAAAAATTATCATTGCAAAAGATGATTATTACAATCAAGTGAACTTAAAATAATAAATTGTTCACTTACCATGATTAACGTTGACCTTTAATTGATTTTTATTACCAAAATTGATGAAAATCAATCAACCTGAATGTTGATTTAATATTACAAAGGGAAGATTAAAGTAAAAGACAAAAATTGTGATGATTGATAATTTTCACCATCTAGTGGACAAAAAGATGATATAAAATGATGAATGATGAAGTGAAGTGTTTAATGATGATGATGATCAACTGTCAAAGAGGAAGATGATAATGTTGTTGTTGTTGTTCTCGGCATTTACTATGATAATTGAGATTTGGTTGTGAGAAAATTCTGGTTACAGATTATTAGAAAAAATCTCTGTGCTCAAATCACATGAAATCACATCACTTAATCCAATGGATGCTAACAAAGTGTCATCATTTAGATTGTTATGATTGGGATGATGATGATTAGCAAAACAACAAGTAAAATTAAAATATCACTGAAATAGTAACATTAAGATTTAACTGGGAAGTAATTCATTGTCAGTTAGATTACTCTCAGTGAATGTTACTCTTCCTGTGAATACTTTTACTCCTAATATTATGATTCTCTCATTTCATCTCACTCTCCATCCTCATCTTTTTTTTCTCCTCATCTTTTATCATCAAATAGTTTCACATGCTCCCTGAGTTTTTCTCAATCGGTTTATCACACACACACATACATATTATACATCAAATGAATAGAATTTTTCTTACCCTTTTTCTGTGGATCGATATTACTTACAAGAACCACTATTTTATCATCCGTTAGACATTTAGAGCTTATTTTTCGAGACGCTAGATGGTAGCAGAGATTAAAGGGAGAAAAACTTTTTTTTAACAATTTTTGATGATCACATAATTGTATTAACAATATAATATAATGTATAACTTTTTTTGCTTGTTGATGATATTAGTTCACCTGTTGTGGCTATTTGGTGGTGGTGGTGGGATTGAAAGGTGGAGATTGTGGTGGTTGTCATGGTCGTGATTGTGACAACAATCATCAGCCGATTCTGAGAGAGTCGATCAAATAGTAACGAAGTCTTATGTTTTGTTCAGATTTACCTGGAAGGTGAAATTAGTCAATCATCTTCGGTGGGCAATCAAAAAAGAGCAGTGGATCATCTTATACCTTGGACTTTATCTCAATATAAAATTATCAAATTTCCAAATCTCTCAGTTGAATCGATATTACTTCTTATTCTAGTACCACTTTCTCGAAAAATTCAACTTTCCCGCTAAACTTTGATCGAGTTGAGTTTCTTTAGGTCAGATGTTTATGAGAAAAAAAATCATTGGGTTATAAGTTTTTGAAAGTTTTGCTTTTTGCATCATTTTGGTTAACTAGTTCGTCTTTGCTTAATTAACTTCATAAATCTTTTTTCTTCATTATGAATTTTCCTGATGAATTTATCCGAGATCGTTTAGATGATGAAAGTAGATATGCATTATCTCCTCTTTATCGACAAATTTCATCATCAAAGCCCATCCAATTGCAAGAACATCAACTTCTCCTTTTGAGCGGAGAGTTTTTAAGAGGTTTTCCTCAACCAGGAATGGAACCAAAACCGAGTTTTTGGGAGTGTTATTCTAAGCTTTTGAGTTGTTTAGATTCTCGAAGATTGACTTTGGATGTTCCTACCCTTAAGCAACATTATTCTTTGATCGGAAAAGCTTTCGAAGTCACATGCAAATTCCATCCCGAATACTATTTAATATTGGAAAGAATGGAAATGGATCTGAACAACTGATTCTTTTCTCTTTTGTTGTGATTAGAGTTCGTTGTCTTGAGATAATTACAATTGATCTGTAAATAATTCGAGGTAAATTTCATCACTGATTCCACTACATCCATTTAAAAATGGTAAGTCGAAACAAACGGAAACTCTGGTAAAAAAACTACCACCATTGTTGATTTGCCTCGAAGAGAGGAGACCTGAACGACTCGATTACATTGGTGTTTGTTATGGAATCACTCATGATCTTTATCGATTCTGGAAATCAGGTGGTTTCATTCCAGTTTATATAAGACAATCTACAAATGAATTAACAGGTGAAAACAGTTTTATCATGATTAAAATTCTGGAACACGATAAACCCGAACTTTCAACCTCAAAGATTGGCCGTACGATTTCAGACGTTTCGTATGAAAAAATTACAGTTGATCTTAAAAAGGTTAAGTTAAAAAAACTATGAAAGAAAAGTTGGCAAAATTCAAATCAACCTCATGGTTTATATTTGTAGCAAAATGTTCAATTATAAAAGTCTGAATCCTTTTGAAAATTGGTTATCAATGTTAACCAATAAATGTTGACATCTATTTTTTTCCTTCCACCATGATGACATGATAACCATGTTTAGTTTTAACCGGTGGGTCGGTGTAAATTGGATTATTTGGTGTTGATGTTGACATGGCGAAAGCGGCATCTTGGAAAGGTCCGACCATCGATCCTCTTGTCATCCATCCAAGGTCACCACCACTTCTTGCTTTATCTTCGCTGTACAAACGAGCCACCTCGGAGAAACTCATTCCAGTCTTTAATTTCTCGATCGCTTCCAATGCTTTTGATTGTTTTTCACATAAAATATGACGAACTTTAATCGAGTTACCTGATCCAGTTTTCTCTTTTGTTTCCTTTGTTTTTCCATCACCACCTGATTTTCCCGAACTTTGTTTACTTCCTGATGAAGTGTTACCCTTTTTTGGAGGCATCTCAGAATAGACAATTTACTTTGATCACAATAAATAAACAAACGAAAAAGAATAATTCAAATTATAATTAACTCTTTTTACTTAACAAACAAAACATAAACATAAACAATCATCTATTTCTACTCGAACGCCATCTATTGTCGAGTTTTCCTTTTTCTTCAAACAAAACAAAGTTCGAAACAAAGTTGTTTGTGGCATTGAACCAGAAAATTATACATATATTAATAATACAGTCGTTCCCAAATAAATTTTCGAGGTAATTTGGTATGTTCTTTCGCATTGTGACCTCAAAACGACCTTTAAACATGTCCTTCGGAAAATGGCCTTGAAAATCGTAGGGAAAAGCACTTTAATTCTGGTTAGTCCTGATCGATTTTGACATTTACATGACTTTTAGTTCTTGGGATATTCAGTGAAATAGCTCTAGTAGATAAGAAATGCATTGTATTGTTTACATGTTCTGCTTTTAAATGAAACACCATTTACTATGACGATGAACATTATTATCTCTTCAAACGTATTAATAATATCAGCATGCAACTGATCTTAATTACCGTTGATATGCATGTTTCCCATCATCGTCAATCAAACATCCACCGATCAATGGGTTTTACAAATTGTCGACCAGCAGTTTGACCTTAAAAAGCTGATCTTTTATAAGGTCAAATAGTAACTATTCGTATGGGAGATCGACAACCGAGAGAGAGAGAGAGAGAGAGAGAGAGAGAGAGAGAGAGAGAGAGAATGGTTAGATGTCTGTTATTGTAGAAGAGGAAAAGGAAAAGGAAGAAGATGAAGATGATGGAGAGAGAAAAGATGAAAAGAAGGAGACTAAAGACGGTGAGAGACAGAAATACAAAATAAACAGAACGACATAAAAGGGAGAACGCAAAAGGATGATAAAAGATGAGGATGGAGAGAGAGATGTTCACACGGGAGTAAAACAAGAAAACGAGAAAACAAGTAACAAGGCGGAGTAAAAGACTTTGGCCTTATCCAACTACCTCTTTTTTCATCCTCATCACCAAACAACAACAGCAACTTCATCGTCTTATCTGTTATTCAGTTCCAAAAAATTAACCATCATCATGATCGCTAACAACTCAACCATCAGCATTTGAAAATTCAACGTTTCTTATTTTCACTGTTTTTTATTCCCATTTGATATTTTCTACTTTGAATCATCGATACAATCATCTGAATAATGTTTCATATCAATTTGGAATCTACAATTATCCTTTATTGTTAAAATTGTAAATGATAGATAAAAGTGAGAAAGTTAAAGTGACTAAATCAACTAAATCAACGAACTAATCAACCAAAGTTATTTAAAAAACCGGTAACCAGGTAAGTTAATTGTTTACATATCTAATAGGCGATGTTGATTGTAAACTAATATTATAAAGCTGATGCTTCTGGATTACGTAAATATTACAATTAGAATTATTATTATTTTAGATTGATGATGAAAAGTAAAAGGAAGAAGATGTAGAATCATAGATAATGATCATGAAGATGAAGTTTAAGCAATGAAGAGCAAAAACAATTTGCCCTAAGGCCTTAGCACTTTAGGATGACCCTAAAGACCAGTTCAAGACGACATAACACAGAGAAGAGAGAGAGATACATAAAGATGATGATGAAGATAAAGATGATTAGCTTGTATAACGAGGGATGAAAGTGAAACTCTGAGAGTTCTGAATACCTGATTCTTGAACTTTTCTTCTTCTTTTATCCTCATGAAGCTTTCGTTTTAAGTGATGAACAAAAAGTTAAGTGTTAACTTTTCACTCTAATCAGTTGATTTGTTGTTAAAAAAAACATCCAAATCTCAGGAATCTTAAGCTTTCACTCTCTCTGCTCCTTGAAGGTCATTTCAACGTTGTAGGTCCAATGGCCAGTTAAATGAGTTTGGGTCAAAGGTAAAGATCAATAAAATAAATAATCATAACCTAAAGGTAAAAAAATGTTACTTATTTTCTTATGAAATCTAAGGTATCACATAGATAAACTAGATTGATGTATAAATGTTAAGATTCAAACTGTTAGTTGATTTGGAAAAGAAAATTTTTCTCACTCTCTCACAATCTAATCAGTAGTTTTAATTGCTAAAAGTTAAATTGATTAGTTTAACTTGTTACTTCCTTTAATCATTGATTGCCAATTAAAAATAAACGGAAATGAAAACATTTCACCAAAATCGTGATCAAAGATTAATGAAAGATAAATATAAGTAAAGAGAGAGAAAGAAAAGTTCTAAAGTGGAACAATCAGAATTTTTATTCGAGTACCATGAAGATGCTAAAAGGTGAAAATGATGAAGATAACGAGATGATAAGGTGCCAATTGATGAGCTAATATTTACTATAAGAAGAGAGAGAGAGAGAGAGAGTAGAAAGAAAAAAACATTTCTCATCATGTCTCAAGGTGAAATATGAACAATTTAAATATGCGAAAATGATTAGATAATTGTTAAGGTAAATTGTTATGATTCCCACGAGTAAAAATTATTATGAAGATAAAGTTTCTAAGAAGTTGTCACTTTCTAACAACAGGTAAATCATCATCTTTTGATTGTTGATGAAGATTCAAAAAAAGATGAAGATGGAAAAATAAAAGACGTTTGTAGTTTTTTTTTGCTCGACTCACGCGACTGTAACAGATGTTTCCGGTTTATCCTGGACCTCACCCTCTTTCCCCTCAGTTCACCTTGAGAGACTCGTAAGATTTCCGGTTGAACCGGAAGATAGCGGGACAACGACAATGATGTGGATGATGATGAGAGAGGCGAGAGACTTAAATAACGGCTAAAATACAAAACCAACAATAAGAAGATGATGATGATGGTAAACGATTTGCTTGAGTAACTAGTTCTCAGGTAGAGAGAGAGAGAGAGAGAGAGAGAGAGAGAGAGAGAGAGAGAGAGAGAGAGAGAGAGAGAGAGGTGATGATGACGACGATGAAAAGGGTGAGATTTGCATCCATGCTAATGTGAGAGTTGCATAGATGATGATTGATCGAAGGGCATGAGAAAGTTCAAGAGAAAGTTCTGAAAAGAGGAAGAAAAAAATTATCGTCAAGAATTAAATTCTAATCCATTAATATGTTAATCCAATTACAAATAGATTGACAATCAACATGAAATTCATTCTGATCATCATTCAATCATTAACCTTTGTTTTGATTGTTCAGGTGATAATGATTCTATTATAAAGTCAATAACATTTACCTGTTTAAGTTAATTACCATCAATCGTTAATCAATTTTTAATCAAACAATTTTAATTGTACCTGGTATTTAATTTGATCATTTAATTGATTCAATTTTGTAGGAGTAATTAAAAGTTTCATGAGCAGTTTTTTTTTCATCATAAAAGTAAAACGATCAAGTTAATTTTTTATTTTGTTTCTCATTTCAATTGGTAAATTATTTTAGTAACAACAAGGAATTAACTTAATTGTTGTAATTAACTTGATGATGATAGGAAGAAGTAGAAAAAACTACTTTTGTCTCTTAAATTGTTAAATATAATTTAATTGTAATTAAAGGTTAGTATGAATAATAAGAAATTGTTATTAAGTAATATGAGTCTTTTACTATTATAATATAAACAATTAGATTTGATTGTAAACAATTAAGGTTTTATTTCACTTGCTAATGTATTAATTATTAGCAGAAAATGATTAACAAATTAATTGAGTACAATTTGTAACAATGAAAATGATTATAATGAAAATTATTTTTCTTCTCAATCAAATGATTGATTTTCAATTCTGTCAACTCAATATTCATGAGAGGCTCAGGTTACATGGGATCTTAAATATAATCTGATTGTTCAATTTAGTAATTAACATGATTAATTCATTATGTGAATTCTGTTTGTTAATCTTTCATCATGATCTTTCGTGATAATGACTGGTCACTCTCACAGGTAGTTAACTAATTGAGTAGGAGTCAATCATCATCATCATCATCATCATCATTAGCCTCATCTTTTCATGGGATCGTTTCGGTCTACTCATTTTACTCAACAATTAATTCATTCACTGATCATATTTCATAATTAAGTTCATGGTCATCTAACTGAAACAATGGTCAATTCACAATCTCATAGGTCATTATTTTTACTCTTACCGTGATTATCAACAATACAATTAGACTTTAATTGCTTTTTCATTTTATTGTTTTATTGGATAAAATTATCCAATTGATTTAACCATCAACGTGGACAAAAACCATTATAATTATTGGTTTATCACAATTACTAAATTACCTGATTTACCTGTTATCCCAATAATTATCATTAATTAATTATAATTGCTTGAAAGCTAATGATTAGTTTTAATTAGTAACAAATTTCTATCCATCTAAACATCTATGGAATCAAAATTAACTCAATTTAAATCTAATTAGAGGTTAATTGTAGTTCCAAGAATCGGATTTTCAAATGTAAACATTTGAATCGCATCAAATGTTGCATATCTCTCATTGAATGATGATGATGATGATGATTGTACTTATCATCCACCCCACATCATCTTCCTCCTCTACCTTTAAGAGTGTAACCATGGTGACAGCCGCCTTCTCATCTTCCTTATCATCTTTGCTCTCTCTCTCTCTCCCGTTTCTGGCATCACTCTTTGCTTATGGTAAAAAGTTGTAACAACTAAAACTGTTTCTAATCATCAATACTTTCAATTTGTTATTATTACAGATAAACTTTGCTTATCTCCATCATCACAAGCATAATCATCGGGAATTGGGTTAAAATGTGATTCAGAAAAAGTGCCAACACCCAATGAACAAATTAATTAATAATCAACAATCAACAATTCTAGTCAAAAGGCAACAATTGATTGTAAACATAAACAGTGACATCAACAGTTAATTGTGATTTTGTTTTGTTCTTGATCATCAAGCATCTGCTGTATCATCATTATTATCATCACCACTCATTGTCATCATCATCATCTTCTCTCTCTCTCTCTCATATCGTATTGGTAATAACCTTTCAGCTGCGAACTTTTACCTTCGAAAAGTAGAAAATATCGAGAGATCGAAAAAAACCTTTCGAAAGGACAGAAAAGGGAGAAAAGAAAAACTATTGCTATGGAAGATAAGCAGATGGAAGATACACTTATATGAGTCAACATACCTAGTGGTCATTAGAACGCGCGTGCCACGTGTCCTCGCGTGCCCAGTGTTACTCCTTCATCATCATTAATCTTTGATCAATAATTCAATCATTTAAGCGCCAAACATGTTAATCTACTATGAATGAATCGCCATTTTGAAGATGACTGTTGATCCTTAATCTTAACCAAATCTCATTGATGAACGCAAATCTAATCAACTTAATCTATTTGTTGATACCTTTTAATTATAACAAAATCATCATCAAAGAGGCAACTCCCTTTTTCCATAATCACCTTTACCTTTTAATCAACAATTAACCACTTTGGCAATGCCAGTATCAACTTCACACTATCAAAGTTACGATCAAACCATCAATGGTTTATCAACAATTAACGGTTCAACATCTAATGGTGTAGTTATTGTTTCACCAAATAATCAAACAACATCATTACAATCAACCGGAATCAATAATAACAATAATTGTTCAAATGGTGCTAATAGTGTCAACAACAACAACAATAATAATAACAATAAGGATAAATATCATCATCAACAACAACATCATCATAAACATCAACAATTAACCGTTAGACCAACTTCACCTCTTATTGATCAACCTCATTTAAATGGTACATTGTCACAATTAACTTCACCTAATTCATCCTCATCTCGACCTCCAATCATGAACGGTGGGCTAATTAATGGCAGTGGTGGTGGTAATGGAACAATCAATCGAAATCAAAGTAAAAATCGTTTAACAGTTAATCATATAAGTTCACCTTCACTTGTTGGTCTCGGTGGCAGTGGTAACGGAGGAGGAGGAAGCGGTAATGGTGGTGGTGGATTATTATCAACCACAACTTCGCCCAATGGTAATACATTTAATTCAACAAAACAAACTTTACTCGATATAACTCGTAGCGGAATCGGCGGTGGATTAACCCCACCCGGTTTGGTTACTTCATCATCATCGACCACTGTGCAGCCCACTCCAGGGTCGCGATTACCACCCTTGCGAAATGGTGCTTTTAACATATCAAGAATTTCTGGTCCACCCTTTTCACCCACTAGAATGAATCAACAATCAGCAAGTGATATTATCTTCAATTCAAATGGAATCTCTGAAATGTTGTCATCTTTAGCGCTCATGTGCTTATTATCACTTTTAATGGCGTTTTTAGCGCTTTTCTTTCTCCAACGAACTGGACCAATAATAACGATACCTGAAGATCTTAAACCAAATGAAATACCGATTTCACCTTCAACCGGTCCCCCACCAATTAAGGATAAAACAACGGTCAATGTGTTCAGTCAATCGCGAATCGTTGTAAATACTCGTGAATATGTTCGTGTTTTTCAAATATCGGTGTCGCTTAGCACACTAACAATTTCACTCAATTTGTGCTGCCTTTTTGTTTGTTGCATACAATTTTTATCAGCTGTTAAATTGCTCAAAGCGCCTCAAGGAACTAAAAGGTTTGACAATCTAATTTAATTGTTATCAACAGTAGTAGTTACAATTTAGAGTCATGATGATCAACATCATCACGAAAATGAAAATGATTCCAAGTGAAACCATTAAAAAGATTTTATTAGAACAAAAAAAAGGAGAGAAGAATAATTTTGCTCGAAAAATGAAATGTCCTAAATAGTACGAACAATTTTCTCAACTGGTCAACTTTTGATTGAACCTCTTGTTTGACCAAAGGTCGTGTTTTGATTGTCCGTTAAAACGGGGTAGGGACAACACGATAGTTGCCAATTGTTAACCGTTAATCTTGATTAAGATTTAGATGATTCCATCAATTTTGATTAGAGCAATTAAATTGTATTGAGCTAATTTCATGAGAAATTTCAATCTTAATTAATGGACAATATTTATGAATTGAAAATTTAATCATGAAGATGACGATGAAATTAGAAAAGTTAATTTATTATTTTTCAGTTGGAGATACAAATTAATTGTTATCATGATGAAAAGAAAACTGGTTTTATTTAATTTAATTGTGATGAGTTAATTCAATCAACATGAATTATAAAATTCATATAACATGAGAGATCAATTGTGAGACTGGTCAACAAAATAATGGTCAGTTTAATGAAAAGAGGCAAAAGTAAACAATCCCACCGGTCATTTGTTAATTGTGATTTGCTACTAAATGATTAACATCATCATCATGTTAACTAATGAGTGTGTCTAATGAATTGCATACTCTTTCATTTAATTACATCTAAAAGAATTGCGAAGACGAGAGAGACTCTAATTATCCACCTTATCATCCTCATCCTCATCCTCATCTTCATTTTCATCATCTTAATCCACTTTTTATCCTCTTTTTTCATCTTCCTCATCATTAGAACTCTTCAATTCCTTAAGAAAACATCACATGTACGTATAACCGCAATTGGAGCTTTCTTATTGTCGATACCAATTTTTTTCACTGGTAAGTTGATTAACTGATTATCTTAATTAAAGTTTAATCCATTTTCCTTTCAATCCTTTTGCTCATTAATTGTTATCCAATCAATTGGGTGGACACTTGTTGATTTGAAAGATTTGGCGCCAAATTTTTTTCATCTTTAGGTTTAATTAACTATTAGTGATCAGATAAATAGCCAATGTGACAATTTAATTGTGTAGGTTGAATTTAGGTAATTTAATTATCTCGTAGGTTGATATTTAATGTGCACTTAATTGTGATCAGCATGGAATCAGTAAATCTAATTCGGATCATTCATTTTTTTTTTCTTGTCAAGGTTCACAATTATAATTAATGAAAACTAACTATTTACAGAATTAGATTTAATTGCAATCATAATAATTATATTTTCAATTTTTATTACTCATTTTTATCGTGATTAAATGACTAAATTGTTTAGGATTAGTTTACAATTGTAAAATGTAATCAAATTGTAGTTAAGGTCCATTTGTTGCCAATGAATCAGTAAATTGTTCAATCATTTTAATTAGTGATCATCATTACTGTTAATTGTTGACTAGAATTTTTTTCATTCTGATGATTTAATGATAATCCGCTGTGAAGTGTTGATTGTCTAATCACCAATGGAAACATTTAATTAACTTGTTGATCAGAATTTTTTTTTTCTCAACACAATCAGCAATCAGAATAATAATCGTAGCAATTTAAATTAATTGTCTGTCAACAAAATTTAAATCAACTATCTTATTAACAACATGTAACATCAGGTTTAATTTTTTTTCTTGTTAAACTGTTATTAAATTTAATTGTTAACAATTTAATCCTGATAATCACACTCAACGGTGAGCTTTTATTGTTGACAGTTTTGTTTGACAGCAATTTAATTAAATCTGATGATCACGATTTCAAATCATGATTAAGATTATGATCATAATAATATGAAAGTTACGAAAAACAATTTTGTATCAACTTATATCATTAAATCAAATTTGATTATCAAAAATTTCAATCCATAACTAATCACCTTAATCTGATTGATAAATCAGCTCGATATTTATTGATAATCAGTCAATCAGTTAATATAATCAATTTGGTTTGAAAATATAAATGTTTATAATTAACTTTTGTTTAAATCAATTTACTTTCCTGATTTAGATTCATTTGATTACATTTTACACAAACGAGTAGGAAGTTGATTAGTTTTAATCCAGTTTTAAATTAGATTGTGTTGGTAGTTGTTAAATTGTTGATTATTTAACTTAAATCAACAAAGTTAATCAAATTGATTTTCATCTGTTTGTTATTGTTTTAATAGACAATGTGATTAGTGTTTCAAGTTAATCAACTAATTGTTTCAATCAATTTGTTGTTGTTAACTACAATTGTAACCTTCAAAGTTTTACAAATGAGTACAATTAAATTAAATTGGCATGATTACAAAGTTAACAATCAAATTTGATTGTTGATGTAACAAGTTTTGTAACCAACAGGATTTAATTTACTTCCTTGATTTCCAATGTTAATCAACAGTTATAAAAATATCTTAATCCGTCTTGGAGACTCCTCAATCAGTTGAACAATTTAATCAAAATCAGTAAACATATGAAATGATTAATCAAATTGTTCGCAAGCAATTTAGTTGATTAGTTTGGAAAGTGAGCTCGAGAGGAAGCGAAATTAAACTCAGTTGTAGACACAATCGATTATCACATCCAATTAAATTATCTAGTTAATTAAATCAGCATAAAAAAGGTAAACAGTTTCGAGTAACAATCTAATTTAACAAAGGAGAAACTAAAAGTCCACCAAGTGACCTCACCCTTCCGATAGTTAATAATAGTTTTCACTTTCAAAATGTTGATAAAACGTGAATGTATTTAGGAAGCGGATGTTGTTATTATGTCACAAACGGAAACAGAAGAAAGTGACACATGAACTTTTACCTCTCCCTTGTCCTCTCATCATCATCTTCTTTTATCATCCTTAATCTTGTTTATCTCTTTCTCCGTCTCTGTCTCTGTTATTTTTACTTCCATAGGAGTGATACTATTCACATTCATCAATTTTGATGAGACTCCAGCTCTAATTACCAGTGTTATAATTGGAATCGGGATCGTCTTTTGTGGACTCGCTTCCGTTCAAAATGTTTATTTATGGCAAGTAAGTTGACCTAATTTCATGGTTACTTGATTATTATCATAAATCATAATCTTATTATTATTTGTCGATTCCCACAGGCTGAGAAAACTCGAGCATCCAAGGAATTGTCAGAGACCCGATTGACCCAATACCGAGAATCAGCTTTACTCCAACCACTTGAATTATCAACATTAGTATAACATATTTAATATATTTAATAGTAATATTTTTAATTGTCACTAAAAACTGTTCAAAAATGACTGTAAATTATTTCTCACCTGATCATCAAATCAGATTTAACAAATTGTTAACAATAAACAAAACCAAACTTGAAAATCAAACAATCAATCAATCAGCTAATGAGATCAAAAAACAATCAAGAGTTTCTGTGATCGATGATATTTTTTAAAGCACTTTCATGATCATTTTTGTATAATAAATAATATCCTTGTAGAAATGCCATTGAAACGGGTTTTGGACTTAATCTTAGTTTATCTTTGAATTCAATTGCCGATGTTTGATCACTTTCAGGATAAAATTTACCAAAAGAATTGATTATTTGTTGATCACTTGCATAGCCAATAAATTGCTTGAAATCAACTCTTCCAGGTCTAATGAGCGCTGGATCTAATCTCTCAATATAATTAGTGGTCATAAAAAGTATTCTAGCTTCAGCTGAGGCCACACCGTCCAACATATTCAATAGTCCACTGAAAGTTAGGCGACTTGATCCTTCATAGGCAAGTTGAGTCTCTTTCCGCTCCTCACGGGAAACAAAGGCCGCGTCAACATCTTCCAAAAGTACAATTGATTGAGAAGGGGTGACATTCATCAGGTAGTTTAATCTATCGTCAGTTAATCCTCTTTCACTTAGATTTAAACAGCAAATACTGAATTCCAATTCTCCGGCCAAAGCGGTAATGAAACTGGTTTTACCACAACCTTCAAGGAGGAAAAAGCAAACATAAAAAAAGGTGATTAGCAAATTGATCACAATTAGAACACAAAATTAAATCATCATCTTACCTGGAGGACCATAGAGTAAATAGCCTCTTCTATAAGGTATTCCTCGCTCTGAGTACCAATCGGCAGTGTTGATAAATTCCTTGACATCGGATGTAATCTTGGTGGAAATACCAGAATCCAAAATGACCGATGAAAGAGATCGCCTTTTCCTTGGATTACCAAATTCACGCCATTCATGGCCCATGGCGGTGTACATGAGGGTTTTTCCTTCATAAGATGATAGAGCATCTCTCCTTGCTATTCTTAAGAGAAAATAATATAAAAAAGAAAAAGAAAAAGATGGAAAATTTGACCAATATTAGATTGGAATTGAAAGTAAACAAAGGTAAAAAAAGACTTACCTTCATCAAGAATATCAAAATAAAGTCTTCGATCTCTACCAAGAGTGGTTAATTTGACACTTTCCCAGGGAACACCAGTGTTTAAATTTAACATTTGATCTCTTGACCTTTCAAGGAATATTAATTTACCTCTATACCAGAAATAATGTTGACCCACCGATGGAACAAAGTCAAATTTAGTTTCGATTTTACCACTTTCGGTTTGATTGAAAGTCGTCTCAACAGATAAATGTTGAGCTTTTGAGGTATTCCGATTGATCCACAACAAAAGCCAATCATATGATTTATCACGACAAGGAACCTCTAAACTCATGAGATAATGTCTCTGGAAAATTTGAGTTGAAATAATGGTCAATTTCCGTAAAATGGCCAATCCAGAACCGACACCGACCAAACCAAAACCCGCACCAAAATAAGGATTGGTTGACAGAGATGCGACAAGCTCAGCAATCGACATTGAATCACAAACCACCTGACCTCAACCACCTTAACCTAGAAGATTAATTTACATATTCTTATAAACAATTAAAACCAATTAGCAAATTAGACACAATCAAAAGACTCTTCCAAAACCCAATTGTCCCTCACTCTTTGCTCATTTGTTGTTTTTCTTTATCAACGGTCCCCGATGAACATGTGGTTTTGTTTTCTTTTTTTTCTGATCCACATTTTTGTTTCAACTTTTGTATTTTCTGTTGTTTAATTTTTTCTTCTTTTTTGTTAATTGTCATAGTTGATTAATTATGAATCGTAAAAAGGTTGATTCAAGGATCAAGCAACTGATCGAGTTAAATAATGTTCGACATCATCGAAGTGTCTTCGCAATCTGTGGAGAGAAACCTTATACCGTCATTCCTGTTTTCTACAATTTCCTGAGAAAACCAAAGGCCAGTGTCTTATGGTGTTATAAGAAAGAACTTGATTTCAGGGATAAAAAGGCTAAAAGGAATAAGAAGAAAAGAAAAATGATGGACGATGAAGCTGATCCATTTGAGATGTTTGCTAAATCGACTACAATCCGTTGGTGTTATTACCATGAGACCGATCGTATTCTTGGTAACAGTTATGATGTTTTGGTCTTACAAGATTTTGAAGCTCTAACACCAAATGTTTTAGCTCGAACTGTTGAAACTGTTAATGGTGGTGGTCTAATTATTATATTGCTTAAAAATATAAATTCTATCAAACATCTTTGCATGGATATTCATCGAACTTACCAAACTGAAGCTCATCGTAATGTTGTCGCTCGATTTAATGAACGTTTCATATTATCACTTAATCAATGTTCAAGTTTCCTACCTGTTGACATGGAATTCAATGTAATACCTATTAATTCATGTTTACAACTTGAAGAACCTTCAGATTATAAGGATGTTCCATCAATTGATCTTCAAAAACTGAATGAATTGAAGGTCTCCCTTAAATCGCAACAACCACTGGGGACACTTGTTGATTGTTGTAAAACTTTGGATCAAGCGAATGCTGTTATAACTTTCATCGAATCTTTATCCGAAAAAACATTGAGAACAACAATTTCATTGACTGCTGCTCGAGGAAGAGGTAAATCGGCTGCCTTGGGATTAGCAATCGCTGGAGCGATCGCCTTCAACTATTGTAATATTTTTGTCACCTCACCTTCACCAGAAAATTTGAAAACTCTTTTCGATTTTGTTATCAAAGGACTAACTGCAATTCATCTTCAACGAAATCTTGATTACGATGTAATCAACTCAACGGATCCAGCATTCAACAAGGCAGTGGTTCGGATTAATGTTTTGAGACAATTTAAACAAACGATTCAATACATTTCTCCTAAAGAAGTTTGTAAGGATAGTTTATTACGAAAATCAGCCGAGCTGGTTGTTATCGACGAAGCTGCTGCGATACCTTTACCGATCGTACGATCTTTACTTGGTCCTTATCTAGTGTTTATGTCATCGACAATCAATGGATACGAAGGAACTGGTCGCTCATTGTCATTGAAACTTCTTCGTCAACTGCGAGATGAATCAAAATCTGTAGTTCAAGATTCTAAAGATGATCCAGAAGCTCGTTTACTTCGTGAAATCACCTTGAAAGAGTCAATTAGATATAAAGATGGAGATGCAATCGAAAAGTGGTTGAATCAATTACTTTGTCTCGAAGTTAACAATGAAAAACTAAGAAACTCTGTCCCTCCATCAGCTGATGATTGTCAACTATTTTACATAAGTCGAGACACTTTATTCAGTTTTCATCCAACATCTGAGAAACTTTTACAAAAGTTGATGGCTCTCTATGTATCATCTCATTACAAGAACTCGCCCAATGATTTACAAATGATGGCCGATGCTCCCGCTCATCATTTATTCTGTCTCTTTGGTCCATCCGAATCTGAGAGTAAAAATCGATCAAAAATTCCGGAAGTTTTATGTTTTTTACAGATTTGCCTGGAAGGTGAAATAAGTCAATCATCTCTAATAGACAATCAAAAAAGAGGCAAAAGAGCTGCTGGTGATCTTATACCTTGGACTTTATCTCAACAGTTTCAAGATACCAAATTTCCATCTCTCTCAGGCGCTCGTGTCATAAGAATCGCAACTAATCCTAACTACCAAGGCCAAGGTTACGGTAAAAAGGCTCTAGAATTGATCTGTAAATACTTCGAGGGAAATTTCATCACTGATTCTACTCCACCTTATGAAGATCAAGAGATGGATGAAAGCGGCGATCAAGCTGGTGGTGATGAGGAAGAGCAACAAGTTAAAAATGAAAAGTCAAAACAAACGGAAACTCTGGTAAAAAAACTACCACCGTTGTTGATTTGCCTCGAAGAGAGGAGACCTGAACGACTCGATTACATTGGTGTTTGTTATGGAATCACTCATGATCTTTATCGATTCTGGAAATCAGGTGGTTTCATTCCAGTTTATATAAGACAATCTACAAATGAATTAACAGGTGAAAACAGTTGTATCATGATTAAAATTCTGGAACACGATAAACCCGAACTTTCAACTTCCGTTTCAAACGATTGGCTGTTCGATTTTTGGATTGATTTTAGACGTAGATTTGTCTCACTTTTGGACAGAGTTTTCAAAAAACTGACCATCCCGTTAGCTTATGAAATAATCACAACTGATCTTAATTTAAAATCCATGAGAAGTAAAAGTTCAGAAAGTTCAAAATCAAAATCAAATGGACAATTATCATCCAACGAGATTAACCTAATTTTTAGTGATGCGGATTTTTCTCGTTTTACATCTTTCACCAAAAACCAGAACATTTCACCACATGGAATTCTTGATTGTCTACCCTCATTGGCCTTTTTCTTCTTCACTCAAAGAATCGCGACGAAATCAAGTTCAATCGATCGGGAAATTGCATATGTACTAATTGCCGCTGGACTCCAGAGAAAGTCAATCAAAGAGATTTCTAATGAACTTTCAATCAACACCGATACAATTGTTTCTATGCTTAGAAAAGGCTTAAAAATCTTAGTCGAATCCTTAATCTCAATCAAGAAAAACACTTGAGGACTAATCCACTTGATAGTTGATTTATTTATAATTAAAATCAATTAATCTCTGAAATTTATTCAGTTGATGTTTTTAATTTTCTTGTTCATTTACAATCGGAACTTGATTGGTCTAAACTGCATTTGAAAGATAGAGAGATACAAATAACTTGAATGATACAACAATAATTTTAATTAAATGATTAAATGATCAACCATAATAAAACATAATCAAAAAAGGTATCAAAAAACAATTAAGGCTTCGGCTTTTTATCCTCTCGATGATTTTCATTCTCAACAATTAAACATTACAGGTAGTTGGTTAATCTATTGCAATGTCACCTGAAGGTTGTGGTGGGTCCTTGATAAACTTAAATTAAATGATTGAAAGTTACAATTTGTAACTCAATAAAGGTTTCGACTTTACATTTCGATGATTTTCATTGCTTAAAAATTTAACCAAGTTACAAACATATTTACCGCATCACTTTCATATGATATTTTCTGCCTTAGGTGGCGTTGGAGCATGGAATGTTAATCTCTGCTAGTACTGTATGATATTTAAAATCATTGGTTTTGGATCATACGCGTGTCTATATGATAAATATCGTTTTCTGTAACAGATCAGTTTTCTTAAATTTTATATTCACAATGAATACAGGTTCATTTTCCCTTTATTTTGCTAATAGAAATTGATAAAACAATCGCTTCTATTTATAAGCAAAATCTAATACCAAACAAGCTCCAGGACTGCCAACTCAGTGTTTTGATCAATATGTTTTTGCGTGATTTTCCTGATGCCTCACAAGGAATAAAACCAACACAAAACCACGCGGTTCCATGGGATGATGTAGTGTGCCTCATTAAATTTCAGAGTGCCGAAAGAATATCATTTGGGATATTAAAGAAATCAAAGAACATTATTCTTTGATTGGGAAAGCCTTCGAAATCGGATGTGGATCAAATCCTGATTTTAAATCTGTAATGGCGAGATTGAATACCGATTTAGAAAACTAATTCTCTTTGATTTACATGCTGATAACATTTATTCGTCTTCTATAGTTACACTCTATGTTATCTAAAGTAGATAGATTCAAAGATTTTTAAATAATCAAAATGAAATGTAATGTTAATTTAATTAAAAAGAAAATGTCATTTATTTCAAAGAGATTTACTATGCGTTCGAATGCACAACTGAAAGCTGATTTGCTAGCTATGAAACGTTGCTTCTCAATTGAAAAGCAATGCCAGATCAATAGGTAGTTTAATAACGTTGCTTCTCAATTGAAAAGCAATGAAAGATGAACGGGTTGAGTAATAACGTTGCTTCTCAATTGAAAAGCAATGAAAGATGAACGGGTTGAGTAATAACGTTGCTTCTCAATTGAAAAGCAATGAAAGATGAACGGGTTGAGTAATAACGTTGCTTCTCAATTGAAAAGCAATGCAGATCAATAGGTAGTTTAATAACGTTGCTCTCAATTGAAAAGCAATGAAAGATGAACGGTTGAGTAATAACGTTGCTCAATTGAAAAGCAATGAAAGATGAACGGGTTGAGTAATAACGTTGTTTCAATTGAAAAGCAATGAAAGATGAACGGGTTGAGTAATAACGTTGCTTCTCAATTGAAAAGCAATGAAAGATGAACGGGTTGAGTAATAACGTTGCTTCTCAATTGAAAAGCAATGCCAGATCAATAGGTAGTTTAATAACGTTGCTTCTCAATTGAAAAGCAATGAAAGATGAACGTTGAGTAATAACGTTGCTTCAATTGAAAAGCAATGAAAGATGAACGGGTTGAGTAATAACGTTGCTTCTCAATTGAAAAGCAATGAAAGATGAACGGGTTGAGTAATAACGTTGCTTCTCAATTGAAAAGCAATGCGAGTTGATCTGTTATTTTACACAACATTTTACAACACTATAATCAATTATGAACTTGAATTTAAAGTCAGGCTTATCAAATATATGAAGTTTATATGATCTCGATTTAATCAATATTCACTTTAATGGCACGATTCTATACATTTACATCTTTGTGGATCCAGCTCAGAGCAAATTGTTAATTTTATATTTCATTCAGCAAAGGTAGATACTTTTCTCAGGGATTGGTGAAAAGCATTTTTTCTTGATGAAAAGCAATGAAAGATGAACGGGTTGAGTAATAACGTTGCTTCTCAATTGAAAAGCAATGCCAGATCAATAGGTAGTTTAATAACGTTGCTTCTCAATTGAAAAGCAATGAAAGATGAACGGGTTGAGTAATAACGTTGCTTCTCAATTGAAAAGCAATGAAAGATGAACGGGTTGAGTAATAACGTTGCTTCTCAATTGAAAAGCAATGCGAGTTGATCTGTTATTTTACACAACATTTTACAACACTATAATCAATTATGAACTTGAATTTAAAGTCAGGCTTATCAAATATATGAAGTTTTATATGATCTCGATTTAATCAATATTCACTTTAATGGCACGATTCTATACATTTACATCTTTGTGGATCCAGCTCAGAGCAAATTGTTAATTTTATATTTCATTCAGCAAAGGTAGATACTTTTCTCAGGGATTGGTGAAAAGCATTTTTTCTTGATGAATTCATAACCCAAGTTTAAATATTTTGATTTACTTATAAAGAAACAAATACATACATTCTTAGAAAGGCAGTGGAATGTAAATACAATATAAGAAAACAATGAAACGAAGAAAATTAATTTTGTAAATCATAATCCAATCTTTCTGCCATGTACTGGTAAAATGGAGACAACGCCCAACAGTGTAGCAAAACTCTACCCACAGTCGAGTAGTGACCTTTTATAGTAGAAACTTCCCAGAATACATTAACACGTGTTTCAAAACTATTTATAATTCTGACAATAACTTCCCATGGAATCGTGTCATGTTGAAGTGGTGTGAATGAAATTGATCGCAAAAAAACGTCCATCAAAATGTAAAGTTGGCGTGATTTCAACGCGAGGATCATTATAAAAATACTAGTATGATTTATCACAAAAGTAAAATTGTTCATGAACTAGTTAAAGCTGGAGAAAATTGGGTAAAACCTCAGTTATTACTGAATGAAATCAACTTTAAATTAGCATAAAATTATGAACAAATAAAGCACGTGTTACAAGAAGCAGAAAGACGGTTTGATCAGTAAAAGAGCTCTAGTCAACCTTTCAATACTTAAAAATGAGGGCGGTTCAATCAAATACACGAAATGTCAAACAATTAGAAAGGAGTTAATTGCCAATTGTTAACCGTTAATCTTGATTAAGATTTAGATGATTCCAACAATTTTGATTAGAGCAATTAAATTGTATTGAGCTAATTTCATGAGAAATTTCAATCTTAATTAATGGACAATATTTATGAATTGAAAATTTAATCATGAAGATGACGATGAAATTAGAAAAGTTAATTTATTATTTTTCAGTTGGAGATACAAATTAATTGTTATCATGATGAAAAGAAAACTGGTTTTATTTAATTTAATTGTGATGAGTTAATTCAATCAACATGAATTATAAAATTCATATAACATGAGAGATCAATTGTGAGACTGGTCAACAAAATAATGGTCAGTTTAATGAAAAGAGGCAAAAGTAAACAATCCCACCGGTCATTTGTTAATTGTGATTTGCTACTAAATGATTAACATCATCATCATGTAAACTAATGAGTGTGTCTAATGAATTGCATACTCTTTCATTTAATTACATCTAAAGAATTGCGAAGAGAGAGACTCTAATTATCCACCTTATCATCCTCATCCTCATCCTCATCTTCATTTTCATCATCTTAATCCACTTTTATCCTCTTTTTCATCTTCTTCATCATTAGAACTCTTCAATTCCTTAAGAAAACATCACATGTACGTATAACCGCAATTGGAGCTTTCATTGTCGATACCAATTTTTTCACTGGTAAGTTGATTAACTGATTATCTTAATTAAAGTTTAATCCATTTTCCTTTCAATCCTTTTGCTCATTAATTGTTATCCAATCAATTGGGTGGACACTTGTTGATTTGAAAGATTTGCCAAATTTTTTCATCTTTAGGTTTAATTAACTATTAGTGATCAGATAAATAGCCAATGTGACAATTTAATTGTGTAGGTTGAATTTAGGTAATTTAATTATCTCGTAGGTTGATATTTAATGTGCACTTAATTGTGATCAGCATGGAATCAGTAAATCTAATTCGGATCATTCATTTTTTTTTCTTGTCAAGGTTCACAATTATAATTAATGAAAACTAACTATTTACAGAATTAGATTTAATTACAATCATAATAATAATTATATTTTCAATTTTTATCGTGATTAAATGACTAAATTGTTTAGGATTAGTTTACAATTGTAAAATGTAATCAAATTTTAATTAAGGTCCATTTAAATTTTTAATTGTCACTTCAAGAGTTCCAAAAGGTTCAATTTTCCCGCTACACTTTAGCTCTACACACTAGAGCTCATTTTCCTTGGTTAGATTTTTACCAACCTGTCAACTGATAATCTAAATTTTATATTCTGTTTTTGTTTAATTAGTTTTTCTAAATTAATCTAATAATAAGTAGTCTGTTTTTAGATTCATTAAAGCGATTAGAATGGATAGAAGGTCATTTTTCAAGATGGACGAATGCGTATCAGCTGGTCTTCACTTCAGATCAGAAAAAAAAATGATAATCGCTGTTCTGTATAAACAATATTCATCTTCACAGCCCTTCAAACTTGAAGACGCGCCTCTCAGCAATGTGATCAACCTTTTTTTGAGAGGTTTTCCTGTTGTCAGTCCAGGAGTGGAACCAACACCGAGACCCAAGATGGGATGGGATGAGATGGCTGGGCTTGCCAATATCCTGAGTGCTCGACGTGTCTGGACTGCTGATACCATGAAGGAACATTATGCTTTGATTGGAAAAGCTTTCGAAGATGGATGCAAATCGGATCCAAATTATCGATTGATTTTGGAAAGAATGGAAAATGATTTGAATTCGAATTTGAATGCCTGATTCTCTCCTTTTCTTCTTTGTTGTAATTAGAGTTAATTTTTCTTTTTCTTCTTATTTTGTTATTTACTGTGATCATCAAAACTCCTTCGTCAACTGCGAGATGAATCCAAATGATATAATATATTACGATCATCGATCAATATATATCTAAACATATGAACATATAAACTATCCTTACAAACTTCTTTCGGAGAAATGTATTGAATCGTTTGTTTAAATTGTCTCAAAACATTAATCCGAACCACTGCCTTGTTGAATGCTGGATCCGTTGAGTTGATTACATCGTAATCAAGATTTCGTTGAAGATGAATTGCAGTTAGTCCTTTGATAACAAAATCGAAAAGAGTTTTCAAATTTTCTGGTGAAGGTGAGGTGACAAAAATATTACAATAGTTGAAGGCGATCGCTCCAGCGATTGCTAATCCCAAGGCAGCCGATTTACCTCTTCCTCGAGCAGCAGTCAATGAAATTGTTGTTCTCAATGTTTTTTCGGATAAAGATTCGATGAAAGTTATAACAGCATTCGCTTGATCCAAAGTTTTACAACAATCAACAAGTGTCCCCAGTGGTTGTTGCGATTTAAGGGAGACCTTCAATTCATTCAGTTTTTGAAGATCAATTGATGGAACATCCTTATAATCTGAAGGTTCTTCAAGTTGTAAACATGAATTAATAGGTATTACATTGAATTCCATGTCAACAGGTAGGAAACTTGAACATTGATTAAGTGATAATATGAAACGTTCATTAAATCGAGCGACAACATTACGATGAGCTTCAGTTTGGTAAGTTCGATGAATATCCATTCAAAGATGTTTGATAGAATTTATATTTTTAAGCAATATAATAATTAGACCACGTGATTAAATGACTAAATTGTTTAGGATTAGTTTACAATTGTAAAATGTAATCAAATTTTAATTAAGGTCCATTTAAATTTTTAATTGTCATTTCAAGAGTTCCAAAAGGTTCAATTTTCCCGCTACACTTTTAGAGCTCATTTTCCTTGGTTAGATTTTTACCAACCTGTCAACTGATAATCTAAATTTTATATTCTGTTTTTGTTTAATTAGTTTTTCTAAATTAATCTAATAATAAGTAGTCTGTTTTTAGATTCATTAACTCAATTAGAATGGATAGAAGTTCATTTTTTGAAGGGATGGATCGGGTACGAGCTGCTTTTGAATTTAGAACAGAAAAAAAAATGTTGATCGCTGATCTTTATAAACAATATTCATCTTCAAAGCCCTTCAAACTTGAAGACGCGCCTCTTAGCACTGTGATCGACCTTTTTTTGAGAGGTTTTCCTGTAGTCAGTCCAGGAGTGGAACCAACACCAAGACCCGAGATGGAATGGGACAAAATGGCTGGGCTTGCCAATATCCTGAGTGCTCGACGTGTCTGGACTGCTGATACCATGAAGGAACATTACGTTTTGATTGGAAAAGCTTTCGAAGATGGATGCAAATCGGATCCAAATTATCGATTGATTCTGGAAAGAATGGAAAATGATTTAAACAAATGATTCTCTTTCTTTTCTTCTTTTATGTTATTTCTTTTAGATTACAACTGACCTTGAATTAAAATCCACGAGAAGTATTATATAGCTTATACAACCACGAACATTAAGTTTTATACTAATTGTCGTTGGACTGCAGAGAAAGTCAATCAAAGAGATTTCTAATGAACTTTCAATCGGCACCGATGCAATCGTTTCTATGCTTAGAAAAGGCTTAAAAATCTTAGTCGAATCCTTAATGTCTATCAAGAAAAACATTTGAGGATTAATCCACTTGATAGTTGATTTATTCATAATTAAAATCAATTAATCTCTGAAATTTATTCAGTTGATGTTTTAATTTTCTTGTTCATTTACAATCGGAACTTGATTGGTCTAAACTGCATTTGAGAGAGAGAGAGAGAGAGAGAGAGAGAGAGAGAGAGAGAGAGAGAGAGAGAGAGAGATACAATTTACTTGAATGATACAACAATAATTTTAATTAAATGATTAAATGATCAACCATAATAAAACATAGTCAAAAAAAGGTATCAAAAAACAATTAAGGCTTCGGCTTTTTATCCTCTCGATGATTTTCATTCACAACAATTAAACATTACAGGTAGTTGGTTAATCTATTGCAATGTCACCTGAAGGTTGTGGCGGGTCCTTGATAAACTTAAAGGTAAATTAAATGATTGAAACTCAAATCATTAATTATGGATTGTTTTTTGTTGGGTGTTAACTGTTAATTAAGATTAAAGAAAAACAAAACTTTTTTTAACAATCTTTTTGATGATCACATAATTGTAATTAACAATATATAACTTTTTTTGCTTGTTGATGATTTCTGTGTACAAATAATAACAATAATTGTAATGATTATAATATAACATGATGATGAAAGTAACAATTAGTAAATGATATTATTTAAGAAACGTTGATTGTGAAAAAAAAAGTTTCAATTTTATTACAACAATTAGATTAGCCCGATGTTAGCACCAATCATCGTCTTCATCGTCAACCTCTAGAAGTGTTAAACCATCAACAAGGCGTCGATGATGTTGAGGCAATGGTGCGTTTGGCATAATAGGTACTGGAGGTGGTAAAATGGGCGGTTGACCTGACGGTGTTAAAGGTAAGGCTATTGGAGCCATTGAAGAGGGCAACAATTGTGGTAATAGCGGAGTGGGTGAAGATGATATTAGTACACCTGCTGCTGCTAAATTTGGTGGTGGTGGTGGTGGGATTGAAGGTGGTGGTTGTGGCGGTGGTAGTGGTGGCGGTGGCCGTGATCGTGTTGGTATGGTTGCTGCTGCTGAGGCAGGTCGGGGTAGCGATGAAGAATTGGGAAGTGTTGATGATGATGTTGAATGATGAGGATGAGATGGTGGCGGTGGAAGTTGATGATGATGGTGATGGTGGACATGATGATGATGACCTTGTGGTAAAGATGAACCCATTGGAATGGCTGAGGATGGAGCCAATGGTATTGGAGGTGGTGGACCTCGTCCACCGACAATTGTATTATTACACATTCCCGCTCCACCCAATGCGGTTGCTGCTCGAGATGGTAACGGCGGTGGTTGCAAAGGCCGCGAGGTAATATTTGAATTTGTCTGTTTAACCGGTTTCCCATAACCATTGGGCAGTGGTGAGGGCAGTACTCGTGAGCCGGTTCCAGCCTGACCCATACCAAGACTGGCAGCGGCTTCAAATGTTAAGGGCGGATCCGTTTCCGGTGATAAATAAGGCGGTTGTTGTTGTTGTTGTTGTTGTTGTTGATTAGATGCAGTCCCCAATGACGGGGTTGATTGCGCTGGCCAATGTCCAGACTGATTGATTGGAGCAAAAAAAAATACAGAAAAAATTAAAATCAAATTACAAGAAATTACTATCAAAAGCATAGAGATAATCGTTAATAGCTAATTAAACTAATCGATATGTGCACACAAAAAATGATAGTCCAATTAATTAGCAATTAGTGGAGTTAGAAAAAAAAAACTTTAATTAGTTTTCAGTTCGAGTTGAACAAAATCAAAACTTTGAACTTAAATTTTTTTTTCATATCCCAACAACTAGTCAACTAAACGTCATTTAGAATAATCAAATTAACAATTAGCCATTTCATATGCACAAATCAAATCTGAATGATCTTAACTAAATAATTGAAATATGATTAATAATTAACAATATAAATATAATTGTCATATACAATTAGTACTAATCATGCAAAGTAATTAACTGTTTTTGCTCTTACATGCATCAGAAACAATATTGTTCAAATTAATCAATATTATATATTAATAATGTATATATATAAGTTAATTGTCTTGGATGATTCTAAATTATTATCTAAGTCACTTTAATAATAACGATAATGATTAATTAATTGATTTATTATATTATTGGGAGTTAAAAAAAGGAGGATAATGTTGATGATATGTTAACATGAATAAGATTGATTATTGATAGTTGATTATTTTATTTACCATTAAATCAGTGAGAGATTAAAAGTGGTTAAATAGTTACGATAATTATAATCAATTAATCATCGATGGCTTATAAGCAATTAATTTAATCACAAGCAATACAATTCACTAGTTTGTTTATATGTTCATCTACCACCCACTCGCCTTTGCCTATTTCTGACTTACGTGTATCCTTCACCTCTTCCAGGTCATGACCTCTTCCTCGAAGTAAGTATGAAGAACACCTTCTACCTCTTCCACTCTCCCTGAAAACCCACCTCACTCTTACTTTGTCTCCTTTTTTCGTTTCTCTCTCTCTCTCTCTCTCTCTCTCTCTTACGTTTATTTCTTTTCTCCTTTCGTCATAATGTTCAAATAGATAGAAAGAAAATTGGAAAGAGAGAAACAGTTAACCTGGTTATCGACTTTGTCTCTTAGACCATGAAGCCTGCGCTCTTCTGGATACATGGTGATTGTATACTCATGGTCTCTGATGAGTTTCAATTGAGAAACATTAACAACAAAATAGTATTCAATAGATGATATTAATGCTTGTGATGCTCATGCTGCTGTTGATGCATTAATACACATCATCATCATGATGAAGATGAAGATGAGGGTGAAAAAAATCTTGGTTATGACCTTTCGTTTTCTTTTGTGATGATATAAAGGAAAATGATGACAGAAAGAGAATAGAATGAGTGAGTAAGTGAGAGAGAGAATAGAGTAGAAAAACGAAGCATAAACAATATTTTAGCAGAAATGATAAATTTCCTCTTCCTCGTCTTACACAATGCTAAGCGAATATTTCGTAAGAAAGGGTGGAGGTAATTCGTGAGAGTGGTATATTGAGAGACATTGAATTCGACCTTCTAACTACCCACCCGGAGAGAGAGAGAGAGAGAGAGAGAGAGAGAGAGAGGGTAAAAAGTCGAGATTCTCATTGTCATCAGAAGAAAAAGTTATTGAAAGAGTAAAAATCTAATATTGTCATTCGTTTATCTCTTGAATCTGATTTACCTGTGTCAGAATTCCCATCTTCTCTTTTCCCTGATTCCATCATGAAACTAATATTTATTTCATTGAAAAACTTTTTTCCATGAATGACAAAAGAGCGATAAAGGTAATTCAGCATAGAACTGAATCAATATGAGAACTGACCAGATGATGAAAATGACCATAACAAATGAACAATTATTATCAGTAAACATGCAAACAAAATGAATCCAAACTAAAAGCATAACAATTACATTTAATTGTAATAACAATGAATCAACCTTAGCATAAGTAACAAAAATAAATCAATCGTATATATTGTTACATTTGTGTAATATAAAAATCAAGGTTTAACGATTCCAGGTAACATCATAAATTAAACTTATTAATATTAGTGCATATAAATAATATAATATAATAATAATACAGAGCATTTCAACTTCATTTTGTGCACGTTTATGAATATAACTCAGAAACTTTACGGATTATTTAGGTCAAACCTCGTACAGATTCATTTCAGAATTGAATAACTTCTTATTTAAAGTTTCAAGGTCATTGAGGTCATTGGAAGTTTTTTCTTTGAAAAGAAGAATTATTCTAAATTACCTGGTGATCGAAGTTTGAAAGTGAAAGTTCAAACAGTCCAACGCAATTTATGTCAATTTACACTATTGGTGCTCATTTTATGCAAATTGACAAATTGATCCGTTGTTTGGACTGATATTAAGGCCGAAACTGTGATGACGGGTTTATTCAATATTCTTCTTTTAAAAAAAAACCTTCAAATGACCTCGATTCCGAGATATATATTCACAATGTGCGTAAAATGAAGTTGAAATGTATAATCAATTTGATTAAAACAAATCAGGCAAATGAAAAAATTGAAATTAAAAAAAAAGTTCATTTATATGAAACCTACTTGGGTTGTTTTCTGGTTTCAACAATTTAAACACAATGAGCAAATCACTTTGATAATAATAATATAAATTTAAAATGTTGAATTGTCCAGTTAATATCAATTAATATCCTTTGTGATCTGTGGTCAGCAGACCAGTTATTGTAATGCCAAGACGATGACCAGAAGAAGAAAGAAAGAGATGATAAAATAGACAGAGAAATAGACACACAGAGAAAGAGTGTAAGTTAGAGAGAGAGAGAGAGAGAGAGAGAGATCATCATGATTTGGCAAACAATTAAATTGGTAAATCACAATAGAGAAAATAATTAGTTGATCACAATTAACGGAAATAAAAGTAAACCAGGAATTCACATAAGCAATTGAAAGCACAATTAATTATATTGGTCAGTTAATCATCGTTGCTGATCACCACAATTAAAGAGAGTAAAGTTTTTTTTTAAGTTTTCGTTTCAATCTGTGAGTATGAAAAAAAAGAAGAGGGAAATAAATACGGAAACGGAAAGAGGCAAACGATAATGCAATTAAATCACAATACAACAAATGATTACTATGGATTTGGGTGCAATTGGTAATCAATTGATTACTTGGGTTTAAAAAAAGAAATCACAATTTACATAATTTATCAATCTGATTGTTAATTGATTATCATTTAGGTATTGATTGAGTTTTCAATTGATTTGATTATCAGATTTTGAAACTTGAACCAAATCAATTGGATAGTTATTCATTTCAATGTATGAATTAGTTATTGATTGATTTTTATCTGTGATTTATTTTTATCGGATCAACTATTATATTAATTGAATGAATTAATTTTCCCTTTCATCAGCTTCTCTATTAGCTAATTACTTTTTTTTTGGTTGATTGTGATTAAATTAAATCTACTTACTGGTCCGTATGCGGTTCGGGTTGGTGATGCATTAACCCGGGGAAAGTTAATGTTATTTGGTGATTTATCAATCATCGGAATTGTCGGCGAATGGGATAAGGTTGGGAAATTAATTCCTTCAACTGATTGAGAACCACCGAGGCTTAATGGTGTAGGCTTAACGAAGGGTGTGGCAGGTAGTCTTCTGCCCGTACGAGAGCGGTTAAGGGTTCCCGCTGCGTTTATAACGGTTGCAGCGGCTCGTAAACGTGACACTGGTACACTGGCAGCCGATTGTGGTGATGGACTTCGACTTCTTTCAGCTAATTTGGTTGTACCATAATAGTTATCCGCTTGACCTGAGGTTGGTGTTGCCTGATTGTGACCTGGAGCATTTGGATCATGACCATGGTCTATCGGACTTGGACTTCGTGATCTTTCATCAAGGCACGTGGTACGATATGCTGGACTGGTTGATCGACTTCGACCCTTTGGTTCAACTGTTGTTGTATCTGGTGGTGGACCTCTCCATGGGGAACGGGATCTACGTCGGGATGATGCTCGACGGCGACTTGGTGATCGTCCAAGTATCGGTGATCCGTAAGATGAAAATTCGTCACCAAGCAATTTGTCTGTCGAAAGAGGAAAATCAAAGTTAAATAACAAACGAAAACAAAGAAAAATATCAACAATAAAATACAACTATTCATTCAGGAAATTTGTTTTATTCCCTAAGGCTATTTCACTACATAATTGGAATGACCTCTAAATGTATTTTCTTTTGTAGAATTGACCACAATGACCTTGAAACTTGAAACTTAGCGCACTTCAATTCTGATAAGTCCTCTGGTAAAACTTTTGACCTTATAAAACTTTTACTTAAGATTTTCAGTGAAATAGTCGTAGAGGATTAAACAAATTCCCTATGTAACTAATTAAACAACATTGAAACAATTAAAGGTAACAATTAATAATCTAAATAACTGCAACTAACACTTACGTCTTGCTCGACCTTTTCGAGATGTTTCGTACTTGACTATGTCCACTACATCGGACACAGCTTCAGCAAAGCCCACATCTGATGGTCGAGGTGAGTGTAACCTTGATCGGGTCGAGGGCGATCGACCTCGATGGATTCCACCCTTTGGAGGTGACTCCTCATCCCCATGAGTCGGCGACGGCGATCGAGATCCAGCTCGAGTTATTTGTAATTCTGGTTTAAGATGAGCCATTTGCTGAGACATTTGATCCTAAATTGTTGACAATTAAGTGTAACAATCAACAAACAAACAAGAACAAACCAAAAGAGAAAAAGAAAACCAAGAAAAAGATAAAATTAAATTAATTACCAAAGGAAAATTAATTTAAATGATTAGTAAATTATCACTAAATCAGATCAAGATTAATATCAAAATTTACTAATGATTAACAATCGTAACCACTAATAGTTGTTAATTACTTAATTAACTACTTAATTGTCTAGATGATGAAAAAACAGAGAAAGATTTGTAATTAAATTGTATAGTAGATACATAATCGCCTTTATATTAATACAATGAATTAACAATTAGCACAATTAACAGGTAACAAAAAAAAGTACAATTAAATTTTCAAATAGTCCAAAATCAATTGTAATTTAAATCTGCGATAAAAAGTTAATCAATTAAAAACTAAATTTAGTTACAATTAACTAAAATTAACGAAAGTAATAAATCAAGCAAGAACCGTAAATCATAAAATTGACAACAATTAACAAAGCAATTAAAACGATCCAAGCAATTTAAATATTAAATAATGTTAAATATATATAAATTAACAATTTAAAAATCAATAATACAAAAATAATAATGATAATTAAGTCCTTACAATTAAAAAAATATGAAAATAACATTTTTGACTGAACAAAAAGTTGATTATAACTTTTACCTAGACTGTAAATATAATTGAGACAATAATTAATCACAATTAAGCTTAATTGTGTCATGATAATGATAGAGTAGTAATTAAAAATTGAATATAAACAATGATTAACAAAAATTAATCACAATGATTAGATTATTAAACTAATTGAAAATTGAAACATTGAAAAGTTTAAGAAAGAAATACAATCAATTAAAGGAATTTTGTTTGTACGGTGCACAATTAAGTTAATTGTTTCAACAATTAGCTTATATTTACATGCAAATCAAGCCATTTGGTGGTGGCGGTGGTAAATTGGACTTGGAGGGTGGGAAATGAGGTTTGGATGGTGTGAATGTGCAAATGTGGTGGATCAACAAAATAATACACATGATAAACATCAACAATCAGTGAATTGTAAACGACAACGACAACAACGGCAAGAAAACAATTTTGATTAACACAACAACAAGATTGATTAACTATCAACAATACAATTAAATCCAAGATGATTTAAGAGACAAGCAACACTTTGAACACTATGGACAAAACAATTGATTCCAAATATAAACCAATAATTGATTTCGATGTTGATATCGACGCTTTTATTTAAAGCTTTCGATTAATGTTGATTGTTATTAGTAAGATGATTGTTCTGCGTTAATTGTTGAAATTAAATAACTTGTGAGATTTAATTGTTGACATTTAAATGCAAATGCGACAAAACAAACAAACAAAAACGTTGCCACACAAAAGACTTAGACGATTAATGTATTCACTTTGGTTATTTCATATTCCATGATGAATGTTGTATATTTATGATTAGATTATTTGTTTTTTTTTTTGATCTTGCAATTTATTTGATTACTAATTAATTTGATTGTTTTGCTGGTTGAGTGTTAAAATAATCAAACCTGAGTGTCAACGTTTCGCGATTCACTCGAGTCTTTCTTGGACTTGCGTTTACTACTTCCTCGTCGAAGGAAACTAAAAGATCGACGTCTGTCCTTGCCATCCTCATCATCGACGCTGAAATAAGATCAATAACATGTTTATAATGATAAAATTTCGAATATTGGAAATTCTCATTTTCTTTTCATTGGCCTTTGGAAAATAAAGAATACCAATGATGAGCGATGATTGAATATGATGAGAGTTTATTGAAGTTCAGAGCTGAATGGGTTAATTAGTGTTAGTTGTGAGTAAGGGAGAGATTGGATTAAACAAATCAAATCAAGTAAGAAAAAGGAACGAAAAAGAAACAATTAAAAAAAGAGAGAACGAAATAGAAACGAAAAGTATGCAGAATTTTGGAATTTTTTTTCGCGGGAAATACAAAAAGTCAAAACAAAGAGAAAGTTTTTTTCTTTCGGTTATAAGGATGATATTTACATGCTTTCTTCTTCCTGGTGGGAGATCTCATCTTTTAATCAGCTGATAAAGTTTACTTTACAATTGGAAATTACCTTAGATTTGATCTTACTGAGCCTTTGCGACTTGCCTCTTGACCTCCGCTTCCGTTGTCATAATGTTCATCATGAGGATCTCGAGTGGCATGGGAATTACTCTGACGAACTGCACCCATGAGTCTTTGTAATAACGATGGACGCTATTGGTACACAGTTCAATTTAATTTCAACATTTTAAGATCAAATTGTAAATAAATAATTTTGCATTGACGATAATTAACGATAAAGTTGATAAGCAATCACAATCATTTGAGTTTTTATGGTTAAACCAATTGTTAATTTGATCAATAAAATCAAGTTATCAATTTTCATGGTGATGTTGATTTAATATCAATATGGAAGTAGAAATGAGAGAGAAGAGAGAAGAAAAAAAGATGATGAGATGATAAGTTGTTTTCCAATAAAATGATTGTTGATATTGACCAAAAGATTTTGAGATAATAAATGAATCAAATGGAATTGTGGTGAAAACCATGAGAAAAATAAAATTAAGTGTGAATAGTGTGTGTGTGTGAGAGAGAGAGAGAGAGAGAAAGATATTGAAATTTAATTGAAATGCTGTGAATTTTGTGAGTGGAGTGAGTGAGTGATGGTGAAGGTGGTGGTTGTGAGTATTGAATAGTGAACTTGTTTTGTGTGAATGAAAAGATTGTGATGGATTACAAAGTGAATAATAATGATAGTTTTTCGAAAAAGAAAAAAAAACAATCCGATTAACTCATTAGCGATGGTAAGAATAATATCTTCAGATCGATAGTAAATCATTAATAGTCTTTATATTGAAGATAAGCAGAAACGAAAGAAAAAAAGTTCTGACTCAATCTCTTATCTAATTACCATAAACTGAACTGATTCTTTCAATAGAAGATGAGTTTGACCGATATTCAATTGTCATATTCAAAGACCTTGGCCTTTCAATATGACATGTCATTCAAGTCTCGAGTCTCTAGGAAGGATAATTGCTAAGAAAATCGTAAAAACATCGGCGAAAATAGCAGAATAGTTTTGTATGACGATAATGATGATGAAAATCTGATCATAATTGATTATGAAACTTTCAATTTCCACAATTTATCACCAAGAACTCATCATGATTTCTAACAATCAACTGAACTGATAACTGAGAAACAATGAAAGAACATGAAAACATTGAAATAACATAAAAAAAACAAAAGATACAAGAAAAAAAGTTAACAATTAAGTAATTTTCAACTAATCAGCTAAATATTCACTAAAATCTAACCAGCTAATTAATAAAATCAGAGGATCAGCAATAACTAAATTTTACTAATCCTCTGATAATATTATGAGAAAAACAGGAAATTAGATAAAATATGGTGCGAGTGATAATTAAACAACAATTAAGAAAACAAATTGATGAACAATTAGCAGGGTGAGAATTGGTGAAGGAAAATTAATCAAAGAAAATGATTAAAAAACATCAACATTCAACAGAAACTGGATTACAAGATGCAAAGTATATCAACTGACCAAGGGTCAGTTATGGATAGGATTGAAAATCAAGGTGGTTGGAGGATCAAATTTGATTGTTCCAATTAATTAATTAATAATAATTATTGAGATACACTACCGAGGCATCACCAGAAGTAGGGAGAGCAGTTTTTTCCTGAAAAAACACAATACACAATAACGACAATTAACAATTAACTTACAAACTATTAATAAATTGCAATTAGATTATTAATTGACTAAAAAAAAATAATTATAAAGTAAAATTAAATAACAACAATAATTATAATCTTAATGTGATAATAATTGTTGAGATTAAAATAAAAAGATAAATAAAATACAGAATCGGATTAGAATCGGATTATCATTATTATCATTAAGTGATTATTATTATTGTTGCTTTATCAAAAATTAAATCAATTATCATTGAGTGTTATCAGTTTAGTTTTTAAATCTAATTTTTGTTTAATTTAGATTTTGATTTAGATCAATTTTGATGGAAAAGGCGGGAAATTTAGTTCTAAATAAAATATTGAGTTTCGATTCTTTTTTATCATTGATCTTATTTGATAAATATCGATTTTTGCAAAGTTTCAGAAGAATTAGAAAAGTTTTTCTTCCATGTTCTCTTCCAATTATTGTTAGAACAATTTTTCAAACTTTTTCTCTTTGTTGTTCTTTATGTTAGAGAGATAATCAGCTGAGAAAATTTAGAACTAAAATTGGAAAAAGTTCTAACAGATCGAAGAACAGAGAAACAAAATGAACATCAAGGATTACGAATAAAAGTTTTTGATGAATTCGAAAACTCATCTAATTAGTAAATTAATAATTCAACGAAAAAGTTTATCAATTATGAGAATTTTCATCTTGATTTGATTTGTTTAACAGAAAGTGTTTAGTCAAATGCGATTAGTTCAACAATTAAAGCTCAATGTAAATGCTGTATTAGAATCAAGTGATAATTTTGTAAATCTAAAAAGTAACTATCGAAATGATTAAGTGGAAAAATAAGTTATCATCATAGTTAGTTAATTAATTAGGTTGATTGTTATGAGTTAATTAATAATATTATGATTAGTGGGTTAGATTAGCTTATTCAGTTTTATGATTTTTGTTTGTTTGATTTTCAGGTTGTAATATGAATTAATTTACCTGGTAAGAGAAAGTGATTAGCGTTTATAATTAGAAAATTAATTTTTTTTTTATAAAAATCAAGTTAAATAAACTTAATGGAAATAAAAACAAAAATAATAATTCCACAGGTAACTAATGAACGAGCGGAACTTACAGCTAGGCCGGAACCTGGGACAGTTCCAAAGCGGGTGGTTCGCCAATTCTCAAGGACCAAAAGTCCAGCGTAAATCTTACCAACGGTCAATTTTCCTGGACCCAATTCTACATAATTTCAAATAAAATTAATTTTAGACTTTGATTGTTGATGATTCCCATGCTTAATTGTGTTTGAAACTTTAATTACCATCATCAGCTGGGATAAGTTTATCCAACATTTTCTTGGCCTGAAGAGGCCACAATTTTCTGACCGTTTCCCTTAACTCTCTATCAGCAGTGTCCATTTCCTCAGCTGGTCTCATTTTAATGCTTAAATTTTCACGAATTAAGGCAAATAAGGTTGTCGAAAAGTTAACTTTACCCTCAGGGCTTACAGGCATATTCATACGTATCAATTTCTATGATTAGTAAGCAATCGTATAAACAAAATGAGAGAACCAATTAGTTAGATAATCGTAATCAATACCAAGGAAAAGATGAACCAATTTCCTTTACCTTATACGCCAATCGATTTGGACACTTGTTACCAAATCCTAACGGTGGATCCATGTTCCTTAGCATATCATACATTTCCGTATAGTGAATCCACCCTGAGGCATTTGGATCATACTCAGCCCACACTCGGATGAATTCATCCAAATGATGAGCCCCCAGAATTGATGAATCTCGAGTTAAATAATCAAAATTATCCATGATAACGGCAATGAAAAGATTGAGCATCTAAATAAAAAGAAAAACATTCACCATTAATTAAGACTAATTATCCTTATACAGAGCTAATTCAACTTCATTTCCATTCATATTCAAACTCTGATGGAATAACTTTATGTTCAAGAAAACTTTCAAATGACCTCTAGATGGTTCTTCTAGATATGACCTCAATGACCTTGAATTTTGTTGTTCGTAGCTTGATTATTGTAGGGCAAACTGTTCTTGATTCATAACTGTAAATGAAGTTGAAAAGCTCTGTATATTATTAAACAATCGTGATTGCATTTAGATTGTTATTAATATGACAATTAAAACAGTTAATTAACTTACAAGAAAAGAGCAGAAAAATATAAAGCTAACAAAATATGCATAAGACCAAATTGACCCACATTCGGGTTTATTTTTCCGAGTTCCAGGATCACAGGGTCTTCCTTTGGTACATGCTAACATTATCGCTTGCCAGGCTTCACCAGTAGCACATCTATGGGGTGGGTGGTGGGGATAATGATGATGGAGTTTAATTCACTGGTTATCATGTACATCCTTTTGTTTGTTTATTTTCATCATTTTCTGTATACTTACCGGAAGAGCAGCATAAGTGATTGTATGAATGTTTGAAAATTGTTGTGACGATTATATTCTGTTTCCGGATTCAGTCGGATGTTACCAAAAACCTTCAAAATGAAGACAAATAATCATGTAAATATACAAAGAGGAAAGTTAATTTGTTTGTAATGATACACCAAACAATTAGGGAAACTTTTCCATAACAAATGGGCTGAAATGTTTGCAATTTGCTTTCATTTTTGATCAATGAATTGAAAAATGTTCAATTGTTTGGAATTGAAATTCATTCTCATTGAATTTAACTGTTTCGTATGATTTAGATGATATTATTTACCTGCATCCCAATGATGGCATAGATGAAAAATAACATGGCGATTAGTAGACATACATAAGGTAAGGCCTAGAAATTAAATGAAACAATTAGTTAATATGATTTTCGCCACCATTATTGTCGTTAATTACTTTGAATGATTGTATAAATGTCCATAATAATATTCTAATAGTATATCCTTGACGAAGAAGTTTAATTAGACGAGCGGCTCGAAATAATCGTAAGAAACCAACATTGAACTGGTATGATCTTAATTGGGACTATTTGATTTGAATGATAGAGAATTAGTTAGTTGGAAAATTCAAATAGATTAATTTATTAGTTTGTGACAAGTTGATCAACATTCATACCCCAAACTCCATGACGATTGCATCGATAACACTTCCAACAACAGTAACGAAATCGAATACATTCCAAGAATCTTTGAAAAAGTTCTGAGCGATATGAATACGACGAATCCGCAAGTGGGCGAAAATGAAAATTGGATAAAGAAAAATGGAGGGAAATATGAAGGTGGAAGAGGTAGGAATGTGGTTGTTCAATGGTTGATGATTAAACCACCATGGTGAAGATGATTGTGTATAGAGAAGTTGTAAATGAATTGAAGATTAGTATGAAATCAGAATGATTCATCATGAAGAGAAAAAAAACAATGAAAAAAGAGAAACAAAAGTCTATGAAAGATCATGAAATTTTCTCTGGAAAGAAAAAAAAAGTTCCAATTTCTTTGAACATGTTACAAGTTATTTGGTATTCCAATTAAGAGCAACGAAAAAAAAGAGCTTGAAATGAAAATTTGATTCTTAAGATTAAAAGATTGAACTGAATCTGAAAAGAAATGAATAACTCCTGAGATGATTTAACTGTCTATTACTTTTGATTTCCATGTTCCGTCAGTAATTAGCTTTAATCATTGAAAAGAAAAGTGTTAAATTAGAATAGGGATTCAAACCTTGCATCCAAATGCCACTAATTTGAGAATACATTCTAATAGAAAGAAAATCGTGAAAAGTTCATTCATGTAGCTCAGAACATCCAGATAAAGATCAGCTGCATGATGATACTGAGATAATGAACATATGATTAGTTATGACGGGAAAAAGACAGAGAGAGAGAGAGAGAGAGAAAGAGAAAAAGTGTCACAAATTGATGATTAAGGTGAGAATGGGTTTTAGGTGTGAGAAAGAAAGGGAAAAAAGAAAGAGAGAGAGAAAGAGAAAGAGAAAGAGAGAAAGAAAGAAAAATGTGAGAAAATTTTGAAAATCATCTTTAGATTGACCCAAAGACAAAGGTGTTCATTTAATTTTAATTATCATTATTAATGCATGTTAATTGAAAGTTTTTGTGTTAATTATGATTAAAAGGATTGATCAATTGTGAAGGGCATAGGTGGATTCATCTAAATGGTAATGATTATCATCATTAAGGTATTGGAGGAGGATTAACGTTTCAATAATATGATTGTGAGAAGAGGGAAAATTATATCAAATTCTGGGTTTCGAGAGAAGATGATGAAATATTATCATGATAATTGGAGAGGAAAGATGAAGAGGATAAGCTAAGTGAGTGGGGTAGGAAAAGGATGAGAAGAGCAAAAAAATCCAACAAGAAGAAAAGTTTTGTCAAGAAATTTGAAAGAGTATTGGAAAAGTAGGTCAGTTAACTAGAAGCAAGTCTATGTCCCAGGAAGAAGATGATGGAGAAAAGTGATGATGGGAGATTGGAAGAGAAAAGGGAGAATAAAATGGAGGGAAAAGATGTGATCACCTTTACGAGGTCAAAATTGATTGATCGATTATCTTGTAACTCTAAATCTACGTGCGATTAACCCCTGGAGTGAATTTGTAATCATCAACACAATGATCATAATGTTCATCTCCTCATGAACCTTGAAAATTTCACTTTCCATTAACAAAAATATACCAACCGCTTTAACTAATTATCAACAAAGGAAAAGATTTAAAATTGAAATTGATTTTTTATCCCTCCAATTGTTATCTAACTTATTGATTTAATGTTAATAATAATGAATAAAAGCAAATAAGCTCATCAACTATTCAGAATAGCTTTTCATCTGGTGAATCAATTTATTGATCCATTGTCATGGTTAACATGATGATTCTGATTCTAAATTTGAGTTTTTTACTCCATTTTCTTTTCATATAATAGTTATACTATTTTCTTTCATGGTAATGTTCCACTAGACTGTGTCCATGAAACAGAAAACATTTCACTGGAATTCTCATCAATATCAAAACCTCACCCTTTCCCCTGGAATCTTCCATGTTAACAGTATATTCATTTTCATTCTAATTCTGAAAAAACTTTGGTCAACAGAATAAATTTCATCCATGTAACATTTATCATGGACAATCTTTTTTTCATTCCCATGGAAATTTTCAAAGTCCATCAAGCCGAAAATCAAGTTTATCGCTTTTTTCGCCTCCCTGTTGATAATCGATCATCAATTTGGTTCGTCATCGACTTGCTGTTAGTTAAAACAAAAGAACTTTGAAACAATTAGCAAATTGTTTCGAAATCAGTGTAACATACTCATTTCCTATTCTATTAGTGTTGTAATTTAATTGCTCTCAATTTTTGTTGATCTTGATTAATAAGAACATAAAAATAAGCCTATTGGGGGTCAATTGGATTAAAATAAAATTTAAACGGTCAACAATATTTCCCTTTGATTGTTAATTGTCATGATAATGAATTAATTTCTGTTGATTTTCCGATGATTTTTTTGTCATTTACCAGAACTTTTTTTTTGTTCATCATTATACTTTGATACTCTGATGGTCAGGGTGTCAAAGGTTAAATTTTATGTATATGTGAGAGTGTGAATGTCCATCGTGCATATCGGACTTTGGTCAAGATGCTGATAATCATAATGCTTGTTAGTTTAATTACAATTAGCATGCAATTTAAATCGTTTAATCAATAATGACTTAGATCAATTAATCTATTGATCATTGATTGGTACCATTCATTTTTCATGCAATCATCAGGCTTTTTGTTTCTTCATTCATTTTCAATTTCAATTCCAAGGTAAATCAATCAAGATGCAGATAAAATTTCACAATGAAAACAAGATGCAAATTATCAACACACATAGAAAAGTGTAAATTACCGAACATCGTCTCGAGTTAGAACTTATTTGAAATGAAATCAACTGATATTCGATAGAAGTTAAATATATCCGTAGATTTGGAAAGAAAATATCAAATTTATCTGTCTCTCCGGTGCTCGACTTTAATTAAAACATAAGAAAGCGAAGAGATTAATTGAGATAAACTGAAGTTCGATGAATACTGAAATACTCAACTCTCGAGAAATGGTTCATTTATAAGTTCAGATGATAACGGTGAACATGATGATTGCTCAAAATACCAAATAATCAATTGTGTAACATGCAATTAATCAGAATTTCATCAAGAGAGACGAATTTTTTTTTCTTTCCCATGAATACATTGTATATTCTTCATGATAGCTGATGATTCCTATTCTGATTATGCTGTTTCTTTTGCATATTAATTGAGTCTTTTTAGATTTTTTTTTGTGTTTCAATTTTTTGAGTTTTTTTTCTCAGCATGAAACATTAGCACTCTTACCCGAATTCCAGTCGCAATTATCTTGAGGGAACATTCAAGGGAAAAAAGCGCCGTGAATGCAATATTAGTGTATCTGAGTAAATCTTTCAATTCCTGGCTGGCTTTATTATGCTAAAAGATGAATAGATAGAATAAAAAATAGAAATTTTTTTTACCCGGGAAATTTTTCCAATTTAAATCCAAGTTTATGAGAAGTGAAAGTTAGTCAATTAAGTTAAGGTAAGCATAAGAAAAGGGAAGAGTTTGCGGTGAGGGTTATTTAGCCTGGAGAATATGTAAACTATGGACTCAGACTTTGAATTGATTAGAATGATAGGAAACTATCATGAAAATTAGACTGATGGTTATGAAGAAAAAATAACAACTCGAAACTGTAACCTACTGTTCAGTTTGACCATCATGATGATTGATTAATGGTCGATTATAATTAGACAAATGTTAGTCTATTTCTTTATTTTTGTCGAGTTTCTAAACAAAAAGTTATGAATCGTTCATGGAACTGAGTGAAAAACTGACAGAAAAAATGAATTTGTCACAAATGGAATTGTGCAAGAACTAATCAGCTGATAGATTCTGAAATTGTCCATATCTGGAATTGATAAAGTGAAAGAGAGACGAAGGAATAAAAAAAACAAAAAGAAAAGTTTGATATTATCATTTGATTGCTCATTTTGTCTGTAACTTGGGAACGGTCTCTCTGATTTTCACCATACTCATGGAAAGAAATCATTGAGAAATATGTGAGGATGAGCTAAGTTGATGAAATAGATGAACCGTAAACCAGATAAAATGAAAAAAGATGAGATGATGATGATACGAATGCTGAATAAAAGGAAGACAATAAGATAGACAGATAGATTGATGCAGAATTTCAGTCAAGGACCATAACGATCGTTACAGTTAGAATCAGTTCTATCATTTTCGTTGCCTACAAACTTGAGATGAGAATGATCATCTTTATCATTCTTATCATCATGATTCTTACCAAGAGAGAGTTGAAAAAACAACAGAAAAGAATAGAAAACATTTATATCATTTTCGTTTTCGTAATGTATAAAAATTACATGGAAGAGAAAAAAAGAAACAAGTTCTAAGTGACTTTCCATGAGTATTACATCAAGAGGAGAAAAAAATAAGAGAAAGAAAAATGTTATTATTATCCTGACAGAATCAATTCCCTTCTCCGCCCATTTCAGGGTATTAGTTAATTTCTCTATTTGTTATTTCCATTTGTCCCCATCATCATCATGATCAGGGTGATGATGATGATTGAAAATTGGTGAGAAAAAAAGTGCTAACATACATTGTGATAATAATCATCATGATATTCAGAGCATTGAATATTATCTCATTTATATATTTGAGAGGGAAAATGTTGAATGATATTCACTTGATAATAATAATGATAAGAGAAAATATATATTATAATCTTCATGAAACATGATGGGAGGAGAGATAAAATCTGAATATGAATTCTGATGATAAACAGAGAAAGTTCAATTTTCAATGTTTATCATTATCATTTATTGTCATGTTAAGTCAGGTAATAATAATTATGTCAACTTCATCTGACATTATTACACCAAGAATATCACTCCAATCACAGAAATTTTTTCCCGAATTCATATTTTTTACAAAGCGATTTCACCTAACAATTTATCACAAAAAGAAATCGATTTAGAGAGAGAGAGAGAGAGAGATTTTCTCATTGATTTCACTTTTCATTTTCTCCTTTTCATTTACCCTCTGAAATTCTGATGAAATTTTATATCACGAAATCAAGATCATTCTTCTCTCTCTCTCTCTCTCTCTTTCTCTTTCTCGTTTCTTAATATTATGTTTAACTTTCTATTATCATGGTATTATTTAATCTAATTGAAGCTTAATTGTTTCATGATGATTTATCAATGATTATCATCATTTTAATGACAATTTAATGTAATGTATTGAGTGAATTTAATCTAGTAAACTCAAGATTCTGCTTGAACATTTCAATCTGTTATTTTTTATCTTTTAGAACTTTTTTTACTTATATTTCTATCTGGAATCATGGAGAGAGAGAGAAAGAGAGACAGAGACAGAGAGAAAGAAAGAGATGATAAAGTAACAATAGTTGCTGAAAATTTCTTCCATCATCTAATGTAATCGATAACATAAAGAGAGATAAAATTCAATCTCTCAAGTGAAAACTCTGAAAAAGTTCTAGATTTCATGGAGAAAGTTGTTCAATAGAATGAGAGAGACTAAGAGAGATTTAATAACTTAATCTGTATTTTCCTAGAGCTCAGTTTATCCTGATCATTTTATGTAATTCGTTCAAGTTCTCATCATGAATTATCTCATCTTATTCATGGTAATATCGGAGGAACATGATGATCACAAATTATAATAAATGATTATGAGATCGAAGCTTATTTATTAGTCCTAAATAAATGATCAGCTGATTATTTATGAGCTGGAATTTTGTAATAATAATCTCAAGGTGAAACATGAGAATTTCCCTGAAATTTCAAACATTCATTTCTATTCCTAAATGAAGCACAATATTATCAATTTTTACTTCCTGTTTTCCATTCCATGGTAATTATTTATATGTATCATCATAGGAAAACTTAATCATCTATAGTAATTGAATTACCCTGTTAATTGTGATAATTGAGTGTTAATTTTTTTCTACTCCTCATTTATGATATTACTCAAGGGAGGGTCAGAATTTTTATCATTAAAACAACATAACGGTAACAATGAGAATTGAGATCAAATAATAATAATTATATTAGATTTGAGTGAAGAGAAAAGATTTTTGTGATGAAAGAAAGAGAAAAAGAAAGAGATGAAATGAGGAAGATGAGAAAAAACATTTACAAGGATTCCAGGTCAAAGAAGTTCGTTGCTCCTCATCTTTTATCATCTTCTTTCACCAGAGTTTCCAGAATATCGATCGAGAATTTTTTTTTCTCGTTTTCATTCTGTTTCTTTTTCACTCAAGCTCATTGATGCTTTTTCCATCTCAGGTGAAAAGATGAAGACACAGTTTCGACAGAGAAGGAGAGAAAGGGAAAATTCCATGGTGAAGTAAATAATATCATCTATCGTTGAATAAAATGAATCTCTATTCTGGAATCATTGATGAAACTTTTGTATCTTCTAACTGAATGAGTTTCTCTGCTTCTCTTGCAGTTCAAATTAATTCTGAGTTTGACCCAAGCTAAATTTGGATATGGACAACTGAGACTTACATATGAATGATTTTCTGCTTCAACTTTTACAAATAATTTGAAATTCATGATAAATACCAATCAATTCAATCAGATCTCATGTTAATCATGTCATCATTAAATGTTAATCATCAGTTAAATACAAATCGATTTCAACTGATAAACTTGAAGCTCAATCAATGTATTACAAAGGGTATTATTATTATTAGGATTCCCTCCCAGAATTGGATATAATCATTGGCAGATAAATTGAACTTATATATAAACTGATTATCTATCAAAAGAATAACTATCAAAGTCAATTAGTTAGATAATTGTTAAAGAATACAGAGTTATCGAAAGTAGTACATTATTATCATCCAGAATTCATGTTACCAATAAGTTTCGAAAATGAACTATGAAGATGACAGCCTTAACTCGAAGTTACAATTTATTTATTAGAATTTTTTTAGAAATGTTCTTAAAAATATCATGATAATTCAGAGTAGAGATTGATGATAATAAACCCTGAATGACCACACGATGCAGATTCAATATGCAATAATAATAAATCACGAGGCTTAAGATTAACTTCACGATTTTCCCGAATACTTATCAAGATCGCCAAAAGGTGAATGTGTTTTTTGAGTGTTTTTCGTGTTACTTTATGTGTACTTTTGTGTATGTGTGTGTGTCAAACGAACTGTTCATCAAACCCCAAGATAACTTCACGAAAGCAAAACTTGGATTGTTTCAGTTCATGGTGATATTATCAATAGTTTATATTCATATTATCACCATGTAAGGGTTTATGTTTAAAGTCCGTTCTGTTTATGCTAACATTTCCTTCAACTTGAAATCCTTAGGTCAACGTGATGATATTTCAATCTTTGACATGAATGCTCATTAGAATGATCATTAATAATATTATGAGAATATTGAAATTTCTTTTTCTTTGGAATCGAGTTTATATTGTAATTACAGTTTATTTAGCTTCAGGGCAAAGTTGAAATATCAATGACCTCTGTTCGTATTATTGTTTCAATCTACTGTAGTTTCTAGTTTCGCCTAATTTTACTTGTCGATTATGGGCCTAAGTATCTAGCATTTTTTTGTCGTCGTTATGACAAGAGAGAAATATTATTGATAAGAGAAGATGAATAGGGTCGGGAAGATGAAGAGAATGAGAGAGATAGATAGAAGATAAACTGAGCACTTTATCTGAAAAGTTCTGTGACCCAGTTTTATCTTAATATGTTAAGAAGCGAGAAAAGGATGAGGAAAATTCACAGAGATACATGTAAAGTTTTCGATAATATTTTATATGATATTTTTTTGTCGAGGATATGATTGTATTTATATATTTATGGTTCAAGTGTAGAGATAAATATCTTTTGTTGTTTGGGTTTTGATGGTGGGGGCGAGAGCAAAGTCTCGTTAAAGTCGATAGGAAAAAAATTGAACGTGTTCAGATTGATTAAGATGAAGGAAAACACGAGAATGAACTTTTGATGGAAAATTAAATTAGTGACTTACCTTCATCATGAGGAGAAGTGTATTGAAAACAATCAATATCATGATGAAATACTCGAAACCCGTTGAAACAACGATCCTCCAAACTCGATATTTAACTGAATCTTTGTTCTTGGGCATATATCGCTGTTGAGGTCGAGCCATTATCGCAAAATCAATGCACGATTTTTGATTCTTATCAAGTTCACCTTCTTCCAATTCTTTTTCACCTTGTTCTTGAAAGGTAATGATAATTAAGGCAACGAATATGTTCACGAAGAAGAATGGAAACACAATGAAGAAGATTATGTAAAAAATGGACATTTCAACGCGAAAATGAGGCAAAGGTCCATAATCTTGGAAAGTAGCGTCCATCGAGTTTTGCAAAATTCTATTTTGTAATGAAAAATAATAGAGAGAAATTAATACGATTCATTTGAATTTTCACATTCCATATCATTAGATGGCTCTTATTATTTTCTCGATTTGAAACGTACCCAGGCCAACCTTCACCTGTTTGAACGGCAAACAAGGTCAACATTGCGGCCATTACGTTATCATAATGGAAATTTCGTCTTTCCCAGACTCGCTTTTCAACGGCAGGTAAACTGTTCTCTTTGAATGAGAATCGAAAAAATTCACCCCTAGAAAAAGAAATAAACATGAAATATTAATAGAAATTTGTTTCATTCCAATCGATCAAATTATCGATTATCTTACTGGCACTCTTCTTTAGTTAATTTGGACTCATCGTTACAGAAAAAGAAACGACCATTGAACAATTGGACCGCAATAACAGCAAATATAAATTGGAATAACATGTAGACAATTAAAATGTTGAATACATTTTTCAATGAAGTAACAACACAATCAAATACAGCCTAGATAAATTAAGGAGAGAGAGAGGAAAAATTAGGATCAAAATTAGTTAATCATTTGAGTTTAGATGAAGACTGAAGATTCAAAAACTTACCTTCAATTTAGGTACTCGTTTGATAGTCTTCAATGGTCTTAAGACTCGAAGTACTCGAAGTGATTTAATTGTACCTAAATTTTCAGCTCCATCTTTTTCACTGTCAAGAGATGCAATTAATTAAAATTAATGATTAAAATCAATCTAAAATGTATTCAAAGGGTTAGGATTAACATTTTAGAGAGAGAGAGAGAGAGATACTGAAGAAATGAAAGACTTTTGTTACTCTCAACAGTAAATCAATTTAAATGAAAGAAACAATTAACTCTCAGTAATTGACAATAACCCAATTGATTAAATATCCAAGGTAATAGTTACTGGGTAATTGTCTAAGACTACAAAGGATTTTATCTTACACTTACTTGATAATAATGATTCTTGTAGCTACTTTGTTCAATTTTAATCCGGATTAAGGATAAGAGGATAGTATTTCTGACTATTGAGATTGGAAAGGATTAGTATAACTACCAACATATCACAAGTGAATTAAAGGTTTACATGTAAGAGTCTATGTATTAAATAACAAGACACGAAGAAGAAATCGAGAGTAAAAACAAATCGACTGATCAAGAGACAATCAAAGTTAATTCTCGTTAACCAACGAGTTGAAACTAAGAAACTTACGATTCAGAGTGCGAGAGATTAAATTTACAGGAAGATTGAATTTTAAAGAAGGAAAAAAAGACCAAAGAGATCGAACTTACCCCATACCGTAACCAATAAGAGCACAAATGACCACAACCGCGTCCATTATATTCCAAACATCGCGACAATAAGAACCTGGATGAAGGAATATCCCTTGATCGACAATTTTCAGTAAAAGTTCAACGGTAAAGACACTTGTAAACGCTTTGTCGAAAATTTCAAGCGTATCATTGATCTGTGAATCTTCATTGACCGGATCTTCACAGGCCAATGCAATTGATGAACAAAAGATGACCACCATAATTACAAAATCAAAGTAACGCAGGTTGACCACATAGTGGGCAGCTCGACGGATCGGATTAGTAGATGAAAGTACAAACATTGATGAATAAGGTAACATCGGTTTAGGACCGACGACATCTTCCTCTTCCTCATCACCTTTCTCACCATCACCTTTATCATCTTTTGATTTGGTTCCATCACCTTTACCACCTCCCTTTGCTACCTGTTTACCACTTTGCAAAGGTGAAGGTGGACAAATGTTTACCTCAGGTAAACCAAGAGCATTTCCAGTACCAGTTCCATGTTTATTTAGGTTGGCGATCTCATTTTCAAGTTGATCTTTGGCTCTCTGTTTATCCTCTTCGGCTTCCTCTTCTTCCGCGGCAGTTAATTCTTGAGCATTGGCTAAATTATCAACAGCAATGGCCAAGAACACGTTGAGCAGAGTATAATTACCAAATAACACCAATATGATGAAATATGAGCTGTAAATCATTCCACCATTGTCAACACCTCCCTGAGATTCAATGGCTTGGTACATAACCTCATTCCAATCTTCACCAGTGAGTATTTGAAATACCGTTAGCAGGGCGACAACAAATGAATTAAAGTTAACCGGTGGTGTTTCCTCAGGAAAATTGAAGCTAAAACAATTTAATGAGAAACAATTTAAAAACCAAAAGCAAAATGGTAAACATTTAAAACCATCACAAAGGCAAATCTCTTGTATTACATTTAATATAATCTCATAGATATCTAATCCTTACACACAATCTGCTCTAATCTAATCCCGATAAAGATTAAAAAGGTTACCATCTAATCAAAGGTACGTGTGTATACATAACTATCAGTGTGAAAGGTCAAAATAAATGATATAAATGATAATCGATAAACTTACTTTCCACCAAAAAGTTGCATACCCAATAGAGCAAAGATTAGAATGAAAAGAAAGAGCAAAAATAACAGAGAGATAATGGATCGCATAGATGCTAATAAGGAGACGACCAAGTTTTTCAATGATGACCAATACCTAAAATAGATAGATAGAAGAAGATAAATTCCAAATTAAATGACCACAGAATCGATAAGTAAATGATAACAAGGGAGGCTGAAGCAAAAAAAAAAAGATAAACTCGAAAACTTACTTGGTAACTTTGAAAATTCTAAGAAGTCTTAAAGCTCGAAGAACTGAGAATCCAAAAGATCCTCCCTTATAATGATCCCAGATAACTTCAAAAACACTTCCAGAGATAACCTTTAGAATTTTAGAAAGGTGAGTTAGAAATATTCGAAAAAGTCGAAAAAAATTGACCCATAGAAACTTTTCTCAAAGTAAACTTACAATGCAATCGAAACGATTAAAGGCAGATTTAAAGTAAGTTGTAAAACCCAAAGCGTACATTTTTAAAAACATTTCGAATATAAATAAACCCAAGAATACGAATTCAGTGTAAACTGTAAAAGGTGAGAAATGTGATTAATGTATCTCGATGACCATTGATAGTGACCAATTGACCGGTTAACTGGGTACTTACAAAAAAAGTCCGTCACATATTGAGGTTGACCGTAATGTTCAACGGCAACACAAACGGTATTTAAAAAAACTAAAACTATCACAAACCAATAGAAAGCTTGAGATTTAATCACTCGACGAACAGATGATCTGTAATTATATTTGAATAGAAACGAAATTAATTAAACACTCATTATGATGATCGATAATCTTTATATGTTATCCGCATCACCATCAAAATCCACTGACCATTAGAATGACCAACACTTACCTGACTCTTTTCTCTGTCCTCCAAAAAGCTTTACAAGCTCCTCGATTTTTAATCTTCGAATGAAGGTAAGAAGCTCGAGCGAATCCTTTTTGTTTTCGATATAATTAACAATCAGTTAATTATTGTGTGATTATTTTTGACAATTTGAAAGAAATTAAGTGTTAGGATAAAATTTTTATACAAAAGAAAAGAAAATGAAAAAAAAAATCGATTAGTTTTCGATCTTTACAAATAATCGAATGTTAATTTGTTTCAACGTTCGTTTAATTAAACTAATCGAATGCGCTAATTTTATTGAGGGAAAATTAATTAAAAACTAATCTAATTGTTTGGATTAACAATGGAAAGGGTTAAGAAGCATTTAAAAGGCAATATTGTTGATTGATTGATTTCATATCTGTTGTTAATTAAATCATAATAATTAAGGAAAATTAAATATTGATTATGATAAACATTTCAAAATTAAAAATCGATCTTGTAATCAAACCCAAACAAAATGATTTAAGCAAAAAAATGTTTCATATTTTTAATTGTAAGAGTTAATTGTTATTAAATCTGGTTTTATATTCATATTAATTAATCATTCCAAGCTAATTTCGGGTTAATTAATTTCGTTTTTTGGTTAATTGTTTCAATTAATTTAATATATATAATTGTTTAAGAGGTTGCGAGAGTCAAATGCTTTTAACTAATCATAATTTAGATTCAAGAAAACAATTTAAATTGTTTATCATCAAAATGGTTGATAAAATTAACTTTTTTTTTGTCATTTAGTAATTAACAACTAATTTAATTAAAAAATATAAAGCAAGAAATAAATAAATTTGATTGTTGATGTTAATTATTTTGTTCATACAATTTATCAACCACAATTAAATAATAATAATAATAAAAAACAAAAATTAACTAAATTTGGGTCAACACATTCAATCAAAGTTTATTGATGATTAAGTTAATTGTTATTAGTTAATCAAACTATTTATCGTTATTAGCAAAATTAAAAGGCCAACCCATTCACAGAGCAACATCATTAACAATCAATTAATTGATTGAGATTTAAAATTAAATTAAAATGGTAAAAAAATTGATCCATCTAATCAGAAAACTAAATCAAACTTTTTCCAATTATATTTGCTTGTTAATTGTTAAACATTACGTTCAATTAGTGAGACAATTAAATCAATTGATATTGGTGTTTGTTTAATCAATTGAATCAATTTTTTTTGTTTGTTTGTTTGCAGGTTAAATTGCAATCATAATTAATTGATTACAATGATTGTAGTAGCAGCAAGACACATGATTAAATTTGATTAGATTAACTATTTCTAACTAAATTAACATCATCATCAACGCCAACAACAATTTAAGTATTTATCAAATCTATTAGAAAGTAACAATTACTACAATCAAACCAATAAAGTATCAAAGTATAATTTAATCCGAATGGAATTGCAAAAAATAGTAAATACAATTATCTTAATCAGTTAATTTTCACCTTAATTGTAAACAATTGAAAGTCTAAACTATTAACAGAGGAAATGGTAATTGATTGTGTTAAAGAAAATGAGGAAAAAAAATGATTGGGAAAATGAATAAAGGAAGAGAAAAGGAAAAGAAAAATCTTCTCATATTCAGAATCATCATGAAATTATTCAGGAAATTTTGATTCTCATTGTTGATTATATGGTTTGGGGGATTTTCTTGAAATGTTTCACATTCCAAAAGAAATGATTACATTTCCACCTAACATTTCATAAGGTGAAACAAACAGGTAATATGATGATAATAATGATATCAGAGTGAATCTGGTAACATTCAGCTTGGAAAAAGGATGAGGATGAAAATAGAAAGAGAGATAGAGAGAGAGAGAGAAAGTAAAGAAAATGAAAACATGGGTATGCACAGTCTCGGAAGATATTGAATAACAGGTAAACATCTAAACAGAATGTTGATATTATGATAAAAAGGTTATTCAACTTGCAAGGTTTTTACCTTTTCTATTCAGAAGGGTATTCTCAAAATTCTGATCAAATTCAGAGTATTTGGTGTCTTCTTTTTTCCTCATTACAAATATAGAAATTATTATCTTTAACATCATTAATGCTCATGATTATTTGGAGATAGAGAGAAGAGGAAAAAAAACAAGATGAATTTCAACTTTATTCTTCCATTATTATTCTAATTCTGTCATCATTGAGAAAAATTCTGACACAGGGGGATATTCAATTCTACATATTGGCAGAGTAAAAAAATCTTTTTCATAGAAATTCAATATATTCTGAAATTATGTTTACCTTACATTGTTTTCATCTTGTTGATAATCAACAATGATAATCAATTTCATACAATTTACATTACCAATAGGATTGGGAACTCAATTAATGGCAACAATTTAAATTGATTATCAGTTTTTATAATTGATAAGAGATAAAAGGTATTAACATTATCATGTTTTACTAATTGTTGTTTGATTTATCATGTTGATGATGATGATTAATTGTTTTTGTTGGCATAAGAGCAGATCAACTAATAAATAAACTAAGCATAAGCAAAACTATTAATTAATTGATTGAGAATAAGGAAAAGAAAAGTTCAACTTTGATCAATTGATCATGAATTTTGATTGATTGACATTCATTGTGGAAACTTTTTCGTTCATCATGTTGAACTTTGTAGTATTTAAAAATTTCCAATGAAATGAAATGAAAATAAACAAAAATAACAACAAACAATTAACCAAAATGAATTGAAATGCTGAAATCAAATGATGCTGGAAAAATTTAGTTATCAAGTATTCAATGGATATCATGAAATTGAGTGATTACGAACAAAGTTCAGAGCCAGAACAAGACACACACAGAGATAGAGTAAGTTCGTTCAGTTCGTTATAACGAGTCAAATGAAGCAACGATTCCGTTTATTGGTACTTTTCAAAGTACCGTTAAAGTTACAAGAACATAAAATTAATAAAAGGTTATCAAACAGTCAACTATTGATTAACGATTTTTTTAAGAAAAATAAGTTCAAAAAAAATCATAATCGAATCGAACATGGAACAAGCTTATAATGACCATTTTCTAGCATATTCGTTATCAGAATTAATCGTGAATACCTTTAAGTACACCCTTCTTAGGAAGCACTTAGGTGAGTAAATGGATTTAGGTTCAGAATTTGTATTTTGTTCACAATCGACGATTGAACAAATTTGATCGAATGGGAATCCAGGATTTTTGAGAAAGAAAGAAAGAGAGAGAGAGAGAGAAAGAGAAAGAAAAAAGAGAAGAATATTATTGATTAATTATCAGAACAGAAAAAAAAGAACGAGAGAAAAAAAAATTCTGTCAGTAATCTCTGATTCTTGATCCATGTAAAAATAATTTCCTCATGGTTCATGATAATTCATGAACATCTAACGAACACAATTTACACTCTTGATTGATTTATCAACATTTCGATCAGCTGGTCAAATGTCTGATCGTTTAAAATTCAACCGGTATCATGATTGATCAACACTAATCAGGAATAAAATAACATAATCATCATCAACAAAGTGATTAAAATTGTTTGTATTACAATCATTAAATTGTAACAATTAATCAACAGCAAAATCAATAACTGTAACTTATCAAATCCCATCAATCATGATTACCACTCATCAATAAGATCCAATTTAATTATCCCAACTATCAACAACCTGTTAATTTATCTTGTACATTACATTATCTTAACCACTTAACAATTTAAGTAATCATTTAGTTAGTTAATCAACAATTTGATCAATTTTTAACCTTCCATTTAGATTTATGAAAATTAACTTTCACTCAAATATTATAATACAATTTAAATCAAGGGCAGAATAATTTATCAATTGATTGTAACAATTAACGAATTGACACTTTTTTTGAAACATGATTAAAGCTCATTGGTGACAATTAATAAATAAAAAACTTTCCTAGTGATTTGATTACTTTGGTTATCAAGGTTTCTAAACTTTTTCTTTATCGTGATTAAGTTAATATGCTTAATTGTGTTGATTAAATTGATTATCTTTTGATTGTTATGATTGAATAGAAAAAGTTATTGATTAATTGAGAGAGAAACTTTTTTTTCTTCTTACCCTCTTCTTCCTCTTCCTCTTCTTCCTCTGCGTTTTCCTCGTCATCGTCTTCGGTGTTTTTACTCAAGGTGCTTTTTCCCTTCTTGCTTTTCGTTGCCTCTCGTCGTCGCTTAACTGTAAGATCATTAGTTAGATTTCGAATTTCGACAAAATACGAGCAAATCATTTCGAACTTATTTACCTTCCATAATGTGAATTCTCTCCTCTTCCGTTGTTCTTTCTTCGGCAAGTATTACATCCTCTGGAAATTTTGACCAATTAGATTATCGAATCGAAATTTTTTCTCTTTCCTTGTAAGGAAATGAGATTATCTTACCTGCTTTAATTATCCATTCGACGTAACCTTCCAATTCACGTTCTAATTGTTCTTGCCTTCGCAATCTTAAGAACGATTGTCGATTCTCGACTCTTTCTCTTTCTTTGGCAAACTCTCTGTTATCAAAAGAAATAATAACAATTATTAGGTAATTTTCTTAAAGAAAATCAACAAATTTAATGGTCAATTTAAGCTAACAAATATTGAAAAAAATCTGAAAAATATTCGTAATTCAACATTAACAAGTAAGTGTCGAGTATTTTTATACTTTTTGATCTGCTATTTAATTTATTCAACCATGAAATTGAGATTATCTAGAAATGAAATTCACTTCATGAGATTTATCATCAAGAATATGAAAATAATTTCTTTAGAAAGAAAAAGAAAAATCCATGAATATATAAAATAATCAAAGAGAATGAAAATATTGGCTCATATTTGTCATTGATCTTGAGAGATTTTTTTGCATGATTCATGATGGAAATACGAATGTGACTATTCAGATGAAGGTAAGAAAATAGTAAGAATATTTTTATAACGAAAGAGAGAGAGAGAGAGAGAAACTTATCATGTATTAATAATAACAGCCGAGTATACAGAGTGTTCACTTTGTTGTTCTTTCTCATCGCATCAAGGAAGATAATAAAAAAAGATCCATAGAAAATGCATTGGTTTGCAAAATGAATTCAAAAGGAACAAAAAAGTTACAACAGAATAACAAGAGAAAACCTTATTTGCATACCCTGATATCGATGATATTCAAAAAGGGTATGATCACAAGTCATTAGCATTCTGTTCAGTTGACTGGTAACAGTAAATCGATAAACTTTGTTATTTTATTTTAGTTCATCTCTCTCTCTCTCTCTCTCTCTCCTTCTTGCATGATCATCCCATGTCCTTCCCATGTACAACTGAATACACCTTGAATATTTATATACACAATTCAGTTATTCAATATTTATAAACATAATATTTTACTATCAAAGTTTAACATTACATTCACAACAAAAAAAAACTTCAGGTAACAACAAACATTTAGTAAAATAAATTCATTTATATTATTCAGTTGTGGTCCATTTAGATTAATATGAATTTATTAATATTTATTGTAGTCGTTGCTTGAATTGACCTTCCCATGCCCTACTGGTCAGTACTATTGTCTATTTTTTTTTAACTATTATAATTATCGTTTAAACTTTATATTATTTATCCTTATCATTAGTGTATCTACATGACCCTGATAAAATGAAAACTGAACATTTCAATTGTTATCATGTTGTCATGGTAAGTCAAGGTAATCTACTTTATCTACCTGATTTCACCCTGTACTCTGATTTAGTCAATTCATGGGGTTGGTGAAAGGGTGATTCAAAGTAAATATAACATGAATGATTCTTCATGCTGGTTAGAATTAGATTTTAATGTAAAATTTTAATCTTTTTTTTCTTCATCAACTTTAAATTCGATTTTATTTCTTCTGCTTTTTTTTTCATTGCCTCAGGGCACTTTTAAGGCTCATCTATTTTAGCAGATTACTTTTTGTAAAAGAAAGAAGAAGAAAACTTGTAGAAAAATGTCTCAATAGACTCGGAAGTACAAGAACTTTTTTCTATCGTTGTTGTTTCCAATTCTTTTTCTCAATTCTAACCAAAGTTCCATGAGAAGAGAAAAAAAAACTTCTCCCTAAGCAATTGAAGGTGAAACTATTACATCAAACAGATAAAATCGACACAAATTATTGAATAAAAATTCATTCATTGAATAACCTGATTATACAGCCAAAGACTTTGAGTTTTCAACCACTTTTTAAATCATCCACGCAGTTGAATATAATCAATGAGAGATAAAGTTAACCCAAAGATATGATGATAAGTTTGTCCACTAATTTAAGTGACGTAGTCTTAAAATGGTCAACTGGTTAGATATCAAAAGTTATCTTGAATGATTTAAAAAGTGGTTGCAAATGTAAAGTCTTTGGCTGTATCTAAATGCGAAATTTACTCTCAAGTGGAAGTATTTATCATGGAGACGAAACGAAAACAAATTATCTCAACTCACCCACTTAAGACACCAAGAACTAAATTGAGCATAAAAAATGAACCCAGAATAATGAGGATGACAAAATAAATCCAATTCCAACTGGTACCCATAGCATCATTCATCTAGAAGATAGAGAATCAAAGTTGTCAGAATCATTGAATTGCTATCGATACAATCAAAGTGGTCAGTTTCTTACCCAATAAAGTACTTGGGTCCAGCCTTCTTGAGTGATACATTGAAAAACAGTTAACATAGAGAAAAAGATGTTATCAAAAGACGTTATCCCGAAGTTAGGTCCTTTCCAAACTTCTTGACAGGAAGATATATTTAAATCACAGAAATGAGCTCCATTGTCTCTCTTTTTATCATCGATATCATCACAATTACTTGGATTACCACAATAACAGGGAGTTTCTTGTTCCCCGTCTAAAATTATCGATGCTGAATATTCATAGGGAATCGGAGGTTGTTATTAATTGAGAGAAGAAGAAAGAAAAATGATAAATTAGTCAGCCACAAATTAGAATTACAAATAAAATCTTCATCTATATCGATCTTGATGATTCTCAATTGTCACCTTCATTTGATATCTGTGATTCAAATTTCATTAGATGAGTTAATCTCTTCAATTATGGAAACATAACCTCATAGGTAATTAGAATAGTTATTATTTTGAGAAAAAGGATCATCAATGAGCTTAGAAAATTGGTTAAGGCTCTGATTCTGTTGAAAGTTCATTGATAATCTTATTCACTCTCTCACCGACTCACTCTTTTTTGCACCTTGTTCATTAGCATTCTAGTTATAACAATTTGAATCAATTTAATTGTGAGAAAACTATTATTACCATGATTAAGAAAACTCATTATTCTAAGTAAAGATATACCTTGTTCAATTTTGAAGTTACCCAGCTAACGAACCGTAATTTGTTACATGAGAAAGAACTGAATTCTCGATGTTCTATTTTCAATCGATATTTACTTCGAAACCTTTTTTTCTTTTCTCTGTATTTTCTTTCCACCTCTTTGGGTTAAATCGATTTTCTGGTTTATTTTATACTCTCTCTCTCTCTCTCTCACTCACTCACTCTTCTTCTATTTTTGTAATAATATTTCTCTTCTTCTTCCATGACTATCATCAACATTATTGACTTAATTCTGTGGGTGGTGAGTGTGTTTCTTTTTTTTCTTTATGCCAATATTAATTTGCTTCATCTTCCTGTTATCATGAACATCGTGTTATTTCAACAATTATCTAATACTTTTGATGATGATGAAGATTTTAATTGAATTACATATATGATAATAGAACAGAAAATTGAATGAATATTCATACTTAAATCTTCCAGGCTAACACAGGTATGGTGAAGTGAACCTGAGTAAAATTCAAGGCCTATGATGGCAAATATAACGATTGCAAACAAAACCAATAAACCAATTTGTAACAAAGGAGCCATAGCTTTGATGATAGATTTGAGAACAACTTGAAGACCTGAAAGATAGAATAGAAAAGTTCATATTACATGAGGAAAAAAAAAATTCCGAGTCCCAAGTTATGGAAAAAAAACTTTTGGGTCATTATTAATTTCGAGTATTATTTTTCTCAACCATCCATTCAATTTATAAAACTCAATGTTCACAAGTAAATTTATATAAAATGCTCTACTATTATCACTTAAGTGTCTGTTCAGTTTAATGTTCACGATGAAAATTTCAATTTCTGTTCTAATTTTTCATGTTAGAACTGTGAGAGAGATAAAAAAAATATCATCTATCTCGTTGTCTGAATATATTACATAGCAAACTTTTCCAAATCCACGATAACTCATTTACTGTTTATTGATTAATTGATAATTATCAATTCTCCTTTCACTTTTAAGAGTAAAATTAGATCATTAATATCATCTGATTTGGTGTAAATTATCAACATGATTCATTGACTGTTGAAGGAGAAACAAAATTTAAATTACTTTCGATTGTTACATTGAATAGAAAAAAAAATTTTCTCTCCAACAAAATGAACTGAATCAGTTTCAATTACCATTGGATAATCGTAACCTTTTCTTTGTCCTTTATAACTTGATTAGTTTTACTGTTAATCCAATTTAATTCTTAATATTTATATGACCTCAATTGAGTTCAACGTTAAGTAGTTTGATACAATATCATGAGAAATGAATAAAACAGAGAGACAAGAATAGTTTAACTGTAATTTTTCTCAGAACTTTTTCCACCACCAACTCATCATGAAAAATATGTTCTCTTTTCTAGAAGATATTCATTCTTCCTATTATCTTTATGTTGTTGTCATTGTTGTGTCTTCTTTTCCTTCGTCTTCTTCATTGTTATCATTTATTTTTCTCGACTGGAGACACATAGAGAGAGAGAGAGAGACCTAAGAATGTTCAATTCTATGTGAGTTCTGCCTCTGCGTGTATTCAATTTCCTCCGGTGAGCTGAAAATACACATTTATTTATCTACCATGAAGAATGTTGAAGAAAAGAGAAGAGAAAATTTCCTCTCCAATAGTATATATACAAACGATCATAATACTTTATGTATTAACATTTCACTTCTCAATATAACGTTAGTTTCCTAATGATTCAGCATCTTTCAAGCATAATGCTCAATACATAATGTATACTAATAATAATAACAACAATTCCCTAAGGGTAAATATTTAAACCAACAAATCATTGTTCTGGCTCAAGTTCTGGTGAATATCTTTCACAATGAACTATCAAAAAAATAGAAAGTAACAATAATAATAATAATATTTATCTTCAAGTCCAGAATAAATAGTTTCCAAAGTTAATAAGATTTCTGAAACTTTTTTCTTTCTCAGCATGATGAAAATTCAGACAATTTTATAACAGTTAGAATAAACAAATCAACTGAATACCTTTTGTTGTAAAAGTTATCGTTAAACTCATTGGATGTTTTTTTATTGAATCTTTTGAATATTTACTTTTAGAAAAAAAAGTTCCAATATTCAGCTTTTATGGGACTGATTATAATTCCTTGTGCTTATTCAATTATTACCATTATCATGCTGAATTCATGTTCTAAATTATATTCAAATTTACAGAACTTTAATTTCATAGAAATACTTATGTGTATACTTGCAGAGATAAATGAGAAAATGGAGATTTCAAAAAGCACTGAATTGGACAGATAAACGATTCAGCGGATGATTCAAAGAGTCATGATAATCAGAATGATAATTTAATTCATAAATAATAATAATAGAAGTGAATTTGACAGAAATATGGATAAGAAGGGAACAAAAAATAAGTTCGAATGAAAAAAAAAAGATCTCAAATAGGTCAGCGGCTTCCACCTTTCCACTGAGAAAATCACAGAGTTCTGTTGAAAATTTCCATGATGGAATTGATCAAGAGGACTCTAGGAATAATTGAGAGGCTTGATAGGGAACAATGAATTTAAGAAGAGAGAGAGAGGGGGAAGCTGAATTCTGATGACGAAATCAGAGAGCTGGAAAGGTAACACCAAGATCCATGAAACTGGAACCTACTCTAATGATAAGAATAATGTGAACTATTTTTGATCGATAAGTTTGATCATCATGATAAAATAATATATAACTGAATTCATGTAATAAATTTAATGTATTAATATAAGAAGAAAAAGAAGAAGAAGAGAGAGAATAAAAAAAAACTAAGAAAACCAAAATGAAAAAGAAAGAGAGAAGCTAAAGAAACATGGGCTGAGTATTTCCTGGTGCAAACTCCTTGTATAATATATGAGTATCATGATAATAGTATTATTTATGAACCAGAATTTTCAGGGAAAATTCTGCAATGAGCATGTCGACGATTAAGTTTCTGAATGATGCAAAGGCAATGAGAAAGTATCACAATCATCATCTCATGTTAATGGTAAAATAATCAGTAACATCATTTCAAATGGGAACCGGAAATTTTGGGTTATTCTATTAAATTTCTCTCTCTCTCTCTCTCTCTCTCTTTCATCCTCTGATTACCAAGAAATACTATCAGAACTTTCCTATTCTTCATTCATTAACATTTCTTTGTGGAAATCAGTAAGATATTGATCTGATTTTTTGGCTTTCCTAAACTGTTTCCTGATTTAATAACAATAAAACCTTGATAATCAATTGAGAATCAAATGTAATTGTAAACAACATTTTTCATATTGGTACGATGATGATGTTGATTAACTTAATTCTCTCGAATTGATTAACAATTAGATTAACAGTAAACATTGAAAAAGCAACTATTTATATAAATTCACAATTATTATTAAATTTAAGTGTTACAGTTGAATGAAAAATTAAATACTCATATCAGCTGATTAAGTTAACCAGTATATCTTTGATGCTTGTTTAACCAAAGTGATATCATAGTCATTGATTGTACATTTATCATTACAATCAACTTAACAAATGTTATCAGTCATTAATTATAATCAAACAACTCAATCTAATATGAAAATCGTGATTGCTAATCTAATATTATGGATAATCAGTTTTTTTTGCTGAAAAAAAATTGCAAACAAGTTCATGTTAACAATTAATTATTCTGCCAATTAATAGACTAATTACCAAAGGCTAACCTGGTAATTAAATTAATGAGATAATCATAAATTGTCTGTCATTTTCACATGAACTATTCATAAATCGATTAGCTGGTGAAAAAAAATTCAACCAAAAGAAACTTAATCTTTGTACTTTGATAAAGTTCGTAACGAAATTGAGACCATCAGAACTTTAGTACTTTCGTTTGTTTTTCTTTTCTTATTTATATCATCCTAGGTATTAGAACTACTTACTTGGAATACCAGAGACCAGTTTAAGTGGCCTTAACACTCGAATGGCTCTCAGGGTTCTCAAATCTATTCCTAAATCGAGAATCTCATCGGGTAATAAGGTGACAAACCTAATTGAAGAACCCGAGGAAATTTTAACGAAAAAGTTTTCGAAAAATATTATCATTTTAATGATTATAATTCGATAAATTCTTAAATTTAATAGATATATAGACACAGATAACGAATGATTTAGATACTATTATGAATCACGAACAAGTAAAAAAAAGTAATAATAGAAAAATAGAAACGAGAAACAAACAGTTATAAACTTAGAGACTATGTCGAAACAATTTAACATTTGGAAAACAATTAAGTGCAACGAATAGTAAAAGTTAATTGTTGTTATATTATAACAACAATACTCTTTCAATATTATAATAAAATTCACACAATAGGTTATAATAGTTGATAATTAATTATTATTATCGATAGTGATTAGGATTAAGCTTAGATAGTACCAGAAAATTTCATGATATTGATTAAACAGACAATGATAAAAGTATTATAATCAAATTAACAGAAAACAAAACAATTAAGATAACAGTTATTCATAAATATAACGATGAGTTTAATATTATTAATTGTTCAGTTTTTTCATGTCACGAGTTGTGATGAAAAATGAATTCCCCTGACTTGTACAATTTATATTAATAAGTTTCTCTCTTCTATTTCTTTTAAATCTCGTTCAACTGATTTGATCCTTTTCAAAAGGGTCAACATTATTTCTTGGTGGTGGTCAGTTAACTTACTTGGAGTCCGAGCAACTACTTTTAACGGACGTAAAACACGAAACGATCGAAGCATTCGAAGATCTAAATTCCAATCACTTCCTTCCACGACTTTGGTTGACAAGCTTTTAGTGTTCGAGAAAAAAAAGGTTCGAAGGTGTTTATGAAAAGAATGGAATTGATTTTCGATTATTTCAATTGAGATCTTTTCTTAAAAAAAAGGATAAATCTAACTCCATGTAAATTGTTCTGATCGTTGATTGTTAAGGTTCATAGCATATGATATATATGAAAAAATCTAAATCCATTTAACTATCAATGGTCATTCCGGTCATCTAATTGGGTTACTCAAGGTATGTACTTAGTATCTTTTTCATTCAATCAACTGAGTTAGGCAACTAAATTATTGCAATTAAGGTAAACATTAGTTTTCGTTTATTATTGTTAGGTAAAGCTAAATATGTAAAAATACAGGGCTATTCAGCTATTTTCGCCGATGTTTTTTTGCAATTTTCTCAGCAACTAAGAGTCGAAGAGACTCGAGCCTTGAGTGGTATGAGTTTTAGCGATACTCAATTGTCATATTAAAAGATCAAGGTCATTCAGGTCACACGTAAAATAACGCGTTTCAAGGTCATTTGAAGGCATTACCATAAAACAGTATACGTGAAAACACTAGTATCAAAATTTCAGGCTCTTATGTCTTTAGGGTCAACTGTTATGATAAGTATTATTAATTAAAGAATCTCAGTACCTTTTTAATTAAACTGCAATACCTTCTGATTGACAGTTACAACTAACTTCAAAATCTTAAACCAGGATGAATAAGTGTGGAAAATCATAGAATGACCATCAAATGACCTTGATCTTTTAATATGACAATTGAGTATCGCTCAAACTCCTACCACTCAAGGCTCGAGTCTCTTTGACTCTTAGTTGCTGAGAAAATTGCAAAAAACATCGGCGAAAATAGCTGAATAGCCCTGTATTATAATAGATTAACATTAAACATGCAAACAATTAACGAAAAGAAAATCACAACAATGAGAAATTAAAATGAAAATGAAAGCTAAATTAGCTCATAACAATTAAAGTCTAGGATATTGTTACAACTACAATTTGGAAGGAAACAAAAATTATAACGAAAGGATTGGAAAATGATTATGATATTAGAAAACTTAATTCTAGATTTGAAATTTAATCGTATGAAAAAATAAGCTTAGAATTAGATTATCAAGTTATTGGTAATCAAGTAATTTACTTACCCGGTTATCACTACAATGAAATCCATGATATTCCAAACGTTCCTAAGGTAAGATCCCTTGTGGAGCACAAACCCTGAGGCAATAATTTTCAAAGAAGCTTCTACACAGAATATCCCTAAAAAAATTGGTTCCGTTTTATCCTGAATTTGGAATATCAGATAAACAAAGAAGAAGAAAAAAAGAAGAGAATAAGAAAATGATGAATGGATGAAGATGATGGCCAATGATGATTAAAGGTGATGACGATGGATAAACAAACATACTAATCGAAGGGCTAATGGTGTTCGATCCTTTTCCGGAAGATGCTCCTCCAAGGCGAGAACAACACAATTGGCAATGATGGTCGCTAGGACTGCATATTCGAAAACTGACCACTCGGTGAAGGCCTTTACATTCCTACGTAGGAAACTATCCTCACTAAGGATGAAACACGAGCTTGGACCCTTCCCGCCCTCCGTGGAAGGTCCCTTTCTCTTGGCCATTTTACTTGCTGAGCTTAAATTGCTTGGTCCTGATCCACTTTCCCCATAACTTTTAGAGGCTTCAACGTTAGCACCGTTAGCCTCTACAGTGAGTGCTTGTAAACTTTATCAAAGGGAGAGTAGATATTTGTATTTACAAAACAAAAAGAAAACACCAAAGACGGAACAAGGGAACAAGAAAAATTGAAAGATAACGGTTAATATTTCACTGGATTTAATACTTGATTCATATATACACTGAATATCCGATGAATTTGTGAAAAAGGTTACCACTGAGCGAAGCTCAAGATTATTCCTCCCAGTCTTTCTTTACTTTCTTTTTTCTTTGCTTCTCACTCTCTCTCTCTTTGATAACAACTCACTTTTCCATCTTTATCTTTCTTTTTTCTGGTTTCCTCTTTCTTTTTCTCTTTCTCTTTCTCTTTCTTTACTCGATAATTTTATCACTAATAATGAGACGTCTCTAAAACCATGGAAACGAAAATGATTTCTTCTGAAACTCTGAACAATATTCTGCCATCTATCGTTACCCTGACTTCCTAAATTCATCATCATCACCATCTGATTATCGGAGGGAGAAAATGTTGCCGGGAAAGATGAAGATAGAAATATGAAAATATGAATATAGAGAGCGGCAAGTTCAGAATTCGTGTTCTGGTTAAATGTAACATATCGTCAAATGATTGGATAAAAGAGTTGGAAAGAATAGGATAAAATATGAAAACTCGAAATTGTATAAGTTGGAAACCCTAAATTCTAAAGGTAACTATGTACTCATATTTTTCCATCTGAAGTTAATATTGACATTGTAATGATGATGATGAGGAAGATAAAATCTATTCAGTGGGTTTCATTCAATATTTTTCACTTCCTTTTCCATCGTCATGCTTTTTTCTCTCATACTATCAAACCTCATCATCTGATGAAGGAAAAATTATCATCAATTTGATTTTCACTTCATCATTTTGTATCTTCCTCATTCATTTAATGTTTCCTTTCAATCTATTCAGAATTTTTTATCTCTCTCCATGAACTTTTATCCTCTTGTTTTTCAGCTCGAAACTGTAAAGATTCAACTCACCAAAATGTGAATAGTAATAATAATTTTCTGATTTGTTTTTTTCTTTTTTCTTTTCACTTTTCTTCATGATAAATAACATGAATGGAAATCATTTAACCATTAAAACTTAATCAATTCTCAATGAATCAAAAAGATAAATGTATTTATCATCTCATGATGATGATTATGATTGAGTGTGATTTTCATGAAAGGATAAAAACTTGAAGACTACTTGATGAATGGTTTTTATTTATTATCATCAATATTTAGTATTTACCTTTAAGGTAAATTGTTTATCAATCAAAATGTGATCAAAATTTTTATTCTCAAACAAATTAACTCCTAAATTTTGTCAACATGAATGAACAATAAGTGTAAATTTCATCATTATCATGACGATGGATATGATGTTCAATGGGTTCACTGAGAGGATGAGTAAAAGTTTTGTGAATTAACTTTGAAGGATATTAATATAAAAAAGAAAATAATAAAATTCTGATGAAATTATGGATATTCAATGTAATAATCGTTGAGAAAAAATTTGATACCATGAAATATCATCATGATGGTGATGAGTAGATTAAAAGTGAATGTCAGAATAATATCATGATGATGATGAACATGATCACCAATAAATTGAGAAGCAAAATAATGAAAAGAGAGAGAGAGAGAGAGAGAGAGAGAGAGAGAGAGAGAGAGAGAGAGAGAGAGAGAGAGAGAGAGAAATTTTTTCTTTCAGAACTCGTAATAGACAAACTGAAAGAAACTGAGATACTCAGGGTATTTATATTCATACAATATAATTTAAATTAGATTGAATTTGATACTTACGCAATATCCTCAAGTTTCATCCCTTTCAACTTTGAATGTAATAAAACGCACGCTTTGTGATCGGAAATTTCAACGGCCCGTCGTCGACGTAAATGACTCGCTGGTTGTATAATATCACTACTTATGGAGGGCCTAGAAACGGACGAAGATCTTGACCTAACCTTAACATCTTCGGGAACCTTTAAAGTCGAAGTTGTTGTTGTTGTTGTTGTTCCAGTTGCTGTATTTGTTGGAGTTACAGTTGAATTTACAGTTAACTTGTTACTAATATTTTCACTTTTCCTTAAATTGTTATCCTTAATTGTATCACAATTATCATCATTACAATCACTATTATATTCCTTTCTTTTGGTACTAATTAAACAATCATCGTGTTGACTATCACTTGCAAAACTAAGTGTTTTATTCCGAGCTGATGATTTACCATGATTCTCATTATCATCTTCATCGGCACTAATATTAATTGTATACTGTTGCTGTTTCTGTTGAGGATAATGATGAGAGGAAGAAGATGAAGATTGTTGTTGTCGATATTGTCGATGTTTCCTCCTTTGTTTATGTTTATCATCTGTTGTATTTGTTTCACTTTCTGTCTCTTCGTCTTCTTCCTCTTCTTCACGAGTTATCGTTAATCGTGATTCTGAGGCAACTTGAAGTGTTAATCCAACATTGGGAGATGAAGTTCGACGGCGACTGTTCAAATGACGACTTGCGATTGCCCCAATCATCTTGTTCTATAAATTTTCTTTCCTTTTCTCTCTCTCTCTCTTTTTCTTTCCTTTCTTTTTGTCTTTCTTTTGCCCTCTTTCCCCCTTTTTCTTTTCCCTCTCTCACTCTCTTCCAACTCTATCTTCTCCCTTCTCTTCTTAGCTTTTCTCTCTCTCTCACTCAACTCTTTTTCTTTTTTCTCTTTTGAACTTTCTTCTCTTGGCGGTGTTTCCTTCGTTTTTTTCGTGATTCTCTTCGTGATTGACTTTTGGTAATTCTAATTGTGATCACCAACCTTTTACCGTTAGTTGATGAATTCATTATTATTACCTGATGATGTGACACCCATAACTTTATCTTCAATGGATGGACATAATTTTCTTATCGAATTGTCATCTTCATGTTGATCTAATTTTTCCCTCGATTCTTGGGTTAACTTTCTTGATACGATTTCACGGTCGAGTAAAACAATCAGTTCCATTATTAAGAGTAGAAAATGTTGAGAATTAATATTGGAATTACAATTAGCAGGTTAATGAGAAGAACAAGATGATGATGATGAAGAAAAAGAAGAAAAAAAACTTCGTATACTAGTTTAATCTTTTCTGTAATTCGTGATGACCAGAAAAATTATTCATCTACCTGAAGAGATTGAGAACTTGTTTTGGATTTGAAAAGAGAGAAAATGAAGGAAAGAAATGATGAAATAGAATTTGAAGATAATCTGTTGGAAGGTTTGGAAATAAAGTTCTAAGAGATTACAGGATTGACGTTAATTTGATACAAAAAGAAAAAGTCGAAGAGAACAAGATTCGATTGAAGGGGGAAGAGTGAAAATTTTTCTTTCATCGTCAGAATTTCTCATCAGAATCAGAATTCCAGAAGTAGAGTAGTGTAGATATTCAATTATATACCAAAGTTTCCAAAAGAATGTGATGATAACAGGAATGATTAGAACGATTATATTTTCGAGATTCTCTTTTCTTCGAATTCTCTCTTTTTTTTTATTTATCTGTCTTCTTATTCTTTCAAAGTTCTGATTATGTTCAGGAAGCCAGAAATGTTCAATCGAATTTAATAAGAACCAGATAGAAGAAGAGAAAGAGAGGAAATAGAAAAAAACTGAAGAGAACTTTTTCTCTCAATTTGGAATAATTATATTACTCAGAATTTTCAGCGATTTTCAATTTCCACTAACAGATTATAATTCGAATGATTTCAAATAATCTATGTAGTTAATGGTAAACATCATGAGAATCTAATTGTATATATTTATCGTAAATTCAACAAGAAATTGAAGTTTGATTGAAGTTCCAAGATTGAGACAAGAAAAATGTTCGCTTCAATCTGTTCCAATTACCATTGGGGATACCTGTTGATTTGGAGAAGAAAAAAAAGTTCATTAGTCGTTGAAACTTTCGAAATGTTAAATAGTTCTAACCACTTTGAGCTTCATGATTTTCACTATGAGAAAAGTGAATTCTCTCAGTGGTTGCAAATGTTCAAAAGAGAAAATCAAAGTTCTCAATCAAAAAGAATCGTCACCCTGATAGTGAATGCAAAAGAAAATACGAAAAAAAATCACCATAAACAAGATGCAATTCTTATGAGAACTGATAACTTGTTGGTAATCATCTTGAGAGTAGTTCGGTGGGAATGATAAGCCTGATGATTAATTTTTCGCCTTCTCATCAGCATGATAATAATTATGATAATTCTTTTATATATATTATCTCCATATCATTATTATCAATCCAATTCTCTATTTTTTTATTCAGAATCACAATCACAAGAAACTTTCTGAACAAGAATAAGAAGCAAAAGAAAAAAAAAGTTCCGAAGATTCTGAATAACACCAAATATATAATGAATGGAGTAAAAATAACATCCATGATATTATTTACTCTCTGTAAGTTTTTCTGTGGTTGTAAACATTTTATCTGATTGATAGTCTTGTAGGAGTTGGAGTTTATCATCAATAGTATTATTATTATTATGATCATCATCATCATCATCTTATCATTTTGTCCTACTCCCATTTCCTTATCCTCTTAATCCTCTCTCTCCCCTTTGGAGTATTTTCCCTTTGCCTTAATAATGAATCAACTAAAAGCTACTGGAGCCCATAAACTAACCCACTCTGCATTATATCATCATCATTATTATTATCTTCATCTTTATCTTCATCTTTCTCAATCAATTCGATGAAAGCTTTTCTCTTCTTCTTCCTATTTTTTTGCTCTCCTTTAATGTAATCAGAGTTTTCCACTTTCTTTCCCCAATCATCTTCATGGTAAAAGCATCAAGTAAAATACAGTTGATCAGAACAATTTTATTCCACCAAGTGTACATCATGTGAATGGAGGAATAGTTATTATATATCATATTATATATATGGGAGTTTGAGGGGTAAAAAAGATGATAAAGGGAGGAAAAAGTTGAGAGAATCTGAAGAGATTGAAGATAAAAAGATAAAGGTTAATAGCTCACTTGTTGAGTTTTCTCTTGCATCATAATCATCATCTTTTATCTTCCTTGTCATCTTTGTCTTCTTCTGATGATATTTATTTGTTATTCTCTCTCATCTTTTACTCCAACCCCTTTTATCTTTCCAAATTTCTCTTCCCGTGGACATTGAATGGACATAATGGTCAATCTTTATCTTCATTGTTCATTTTTTATCTACTCAAAATCATTTCTCTCTCTCTCTCTTTTACTATCATCATCATCATTATTTATCTTCCTAATAATTTTCTATCTTTTCTTTTTTTATCCCATTTACTTTTCTCTCAGCAAAAAGCGACTCATCAGACAGAACTGTTTCTTTCCTGGATTCTATTTGACGACAATTTGAACAAATCAAAACCAAATCAATCAATCAATTGACATTTAAATCCTTAGCAATCAACAGATTCACCATTAACTTTGAGTTAATATTCTTGTTCCTTTGTTAAAAGATATCATGAGCTATCATGAAAGTTTATTGATCAATTTTTTGCTCTTTCTTTCATGAAGAAAAGGGTTAACATGGCAAGATAATCGTTTTGACTCATTGGTATCATCATTATGTAAGTGATGATGATCTGACGGGGAAGGATAAATGAAAGGTAAAAAAGTTCTGAAACACCGTATCTAGAATAATAAATAACATTGAAGATGAGATTAATCTCTGAGCAAGAAATTGAGCTCAACTGGGTGATGATTTCTCACTCTTCCTCCTCATCATCTGTTTACTGTTCAATGAAATTGTGACACATTATTGACGGATAACAGAGTGGAAAACTGTGCTTTATGAATCATAATCATTCATTGTCATTGTTCATGAGATTCATCCTGAACAAACCAGAACTCTGAAAATAATCAAAAAATGTTCACCAAACTTTTGTTGTTCAATGTTGTCCAATTTTGAACACATTTGAACAAAAAACTCAACAGGAGCAACAATAACATCAAATGAAATACTAAATGATTTACAATGATTTTTTTGTGTTTCAAAATTCATTCAATGAATTTTCATGAAGGTGAGAAATCCACAGAATCTTCAGGGGAGCTAGAAATATATTCACTGGTATCTCAAGACTTGCTAACATTATTTCAGTTCTGAAAGAAGATGAATTTGAGTTTTATTTTCATTCTCTATTCCAACCATCAAAATATTTTTCATCATTCGAATTCATTTTTCATAATTTCCATTCATTTTCATCTCTTATATCATTGTGATGAAGATAAATGTTACTCAGTTTTTTTTTCTTTATATCAATTGTGATTTTCAAAGATGAAAACTAAATATAACTCTGGTCAAGAATAAAGTTCTGAATAAAAAAAAAGATTCAGACATAAAGGGACAAGTTTTCTCTCTCTTTTTCACTTTCTTTTCCTTATCCTTCCCTCCATCAAACAATTTGAATAATTTTTCATGGTGAAAGATTAAACTCATTCATCATGCAAGAAAATTCAGAATAAATTAACTTCAATACTATCATCAAAAGGTTATCTTATTACAATTGATAATAATTCAAAGACCTTCTGTCACCCTGAGAGTATCCTGAATATCAAGATGATTCATTAGGAACTTTTTATCGTTTCTCTCTCTCTCTCGTTAATTATTTGTAACATTGTGATGAAAACTCTGATTCGTTCATTTGATCATGTAACAAAAGATAGAGAGAGAGAGAGACAGAGATAATATGATTCATATCCTTGAATTCAAGAAGACATAAAACTGAATTTTAATTTCAATGATAATCTGAATGAAAAGGTTTGTAAATTTGTAACAATTTAATAAAATTGTAATTAGTTTAATGAAAGATTAAATTAGTTGATCATCTGTTCAGTTTTTAGGTCCAATCATAGTTTTCTTTTTGTATGATAAACACTAAAGTTTGATTGATGATAAAACAACAATCAGTGGGTAATATTTTCATAAACAAATTATTATCTATCATCTTAAATTGTTTCCAGTTAAATTAACTAATAAGTAGCTGATTATCTTCATCAGAATCAGGATAAGTGTTTATTGTTATCGTAATGAACTGAAAAAAAACTTATCTTCCTTTTTTCAACCTTTGTTATCAACAATTAATCCTGTTGAAAGTAAATATAATGAACTTGATAACAATCATGATAATGAATAATGAACAATGTTCATCATTTGTGTGATTATATTAATTGTGTCTCTGGCATTTTGTCAACAGTAATTTGGTTTTCGTTTTTTTATCATATTATCAACACTCATCATATTCATTAACACAACTTTTAATCAGAGCTAAATGTTATCTCTGATGAGGATATGCTATGAGAAAATTTCCAATTCTGATGAGAAAGAGAGAGAGAGAGAGAGAAAAGTTCTGACAAATTCAGTCTTCTCTATGTTTCCATATTAATAGATTTATATATGTAATATTTTAGTTCTCATAACAATGTAACTGTTTATTTTCCAATTGAAAACCAATTGATTTCAAATTCTCATTCTGATAAAATAATTTCTCTGTAAATTCATTCCTGTTTTCATAGGGATAAACATTTACAAGATAATAGCACTTCTCATGTTCAATTTCAATTCAATTTTCACACCATCATGTTTTTTTTATTGCAATTTTGGGTGAAGCAAGAAAAAACCATGATACAGATTATCAAGACTACTATTATCATTTTCATGGTCTCTTTCTAATATTGTTTATTTGCTTTTCCATGGGAGTCTTGAGTTTCCTTTATTCTTACACCAGAATTTTCATCACAATTTTCCCTTATTCTTCAACACTTACATTTTAACCGGTATTCATGTTACTCAGTCACGAGAAATAAAAATAAAAGCAGAGAAATGAAAATTTCCCTTCTGTAATAAATTCTGAAGTGGCTCAGAGCTTAATAGTTATCGTTTTCACCATGAGTATGGCGATGAAAATAAAATAAGTATTGGAAAAGTAAATGCAATGATAATTATGGTTCTTATGATATTAATGATGAAAGTTCAACTTGAATTAATATTCACTGGTGTAATTGTGATTAAAGTTGACTTCATCTTCTCATGACAATAATAATGATCATTTCCATATTTTCATCTTTCTCTCTTGAGCAAGTTATCTGAATAATGCTGAAGAAAATGAATTTTTACCAAGGCAAAATGGGATAGAACTTTTTTTTTCTTCTCCATTCAAATCTTTCTGATTTTTTTTTTCTGTCAACAACAAATAATTAGCAAGAAATACGCAGGATAGAAATTCTGACAATCTAAATGTTGTCACTGAAAATTTGTGTATAAATGATTCTCATGATACTTTTTCCTCTATCAGGGGAGGAAAAGTAGCTCGATATTCATAGATACATGTAATTCTTACTTTGTGGTGAGAACTTTTTTTTTCAATTCGCCTTCAACTAGTCACATCTAACTGTTACATGAAAAACCGATGAAAGTTAACAATGAAATTTCAAATAGTCTATTATCATGTTCACACCCTATTCCGAGCATTTTCATTTCTTTATCAACATTACCAACATCCAATTAACAAGAACCACATAATTATCACTCCCACAATATAATTTAGCCTGCGGATTGACTGTTACTCAACCTCCACCACCATCATGATTATAATTAAGTTTCAAATGAATGAACAAAACTGATTTTCTTGGTTGGTGAACCCACTTGACAATTTAACTCATTTCAACTTTCAACCCACATTCAATTGTGATCTACTTCATTCATGAAAATCTTCACCATTTTTCCATGGTAATGATGATAATTATAAATATTCAATGATGGAGATAAACCAAAACAATAAACAATAAAACAAACATTATATTTACTACTTGATGAGGCATGAAAAAGAAATGCAGAAAAACTTATTCCTTAATCTAAAACTAATCTCATTCATA